TGACACCCCCTGCAGAGATCAGCGTAGGAGCAGGGGTGGAGCCTGGCAGCGTTTTCCGGGGAAGGAGACGGCATGTGCAAAGGTCCAGAGGGAAGTAAGATCAGAACAGATACTGGACAGAATGGGAGAGAGAGGAAGAGATGTGGAGGGGCACAGAGAGACCCAGAACGGACAAGCGCCATGCATGCGTGCGCGCAGACACACACACACGCACACACACACACACACGCAGCATCACCCAGAGCTTCCTGCCAAAGTCAAGAAGACACAGAAGCACTGGGTTCTGTTTCTGTGCCAGCCCTGTGAGGCTTCCCCACACTGTGGGCTCCTCCCGCAGCCCTGCCCACAGGGGACTGCCCATCTCCTTGGTAGAGGGGCGCCGTGCTCATTCCGGGACTCAGCCAGGGAGGGCGCAGAAGCCAAGACACCCTGGGGAGATGGGGTTGGTGGACGGGCTGGCCAGCTTGCGGTGGGGCAGCAGGGGCCGGGAGGGACATCTGGGTTTGGGTCAGGAATAACCAACCACGTGACCTTGGGCAGGCTTCTCCCTGACCTGCCATGAGGCCTGCCCAGCTCTGACATCCGAGACTCGCCGCCGCTGTCACTGCAATGTGCTTCTCTGAGTCCTCTGGTCTTTTCGCATTTTTAACAAGCCACGGTCAGCGTCGCCACCCGAAGCTGAGGCGGCGGTCTTCTCTTCACGTAGCTGATCGCTGAGGATGCCCTGGCCTCAGGCCAGAGGCCGGGAGCACGTTGCTGGTCCCACACAGCTGGTCCCTCTCCAGCTAGCGCAGGGGGACGTTAAATAAGAATCGAAAGGGGGGAGCACCTTCTGAGGTCAAATACATTTTGTAAACAAACTTTTGTTAGACAAAGTCAGACAGACTTCGTTCCCGCAGGACTTGTCAGAGCCTTTAACATGCTAGTGTGCACTGTGCTGCTGGGTGCGGGGCCAGGGGCAGGGTGAGAGGGCACGAAGAGCGCATCATGTATGTAGGCCGGTAGGTTTGAGCACAGGATCCTCCCGGGGTCCCCTGCAGGAAGAGTCCCCAGCGCCGACGGGTACCTGGCCACCCCCCTCGTGCCTTTCCCAGAGCCGGGCAGAGAGGCCCACGGTGTCTGTGTGTGTGGCTGTGGACTGGGCTCCAGAGAAATAGTGGGCCAGCTTCCCACAGCCTCCTGTTGCGGTTCTGTGTTGTAGTGAAACCGCGACAGGGTCAGTGTCCGGGCTGTAGGGGCAGCTGGGTCCATCCTTGGACCTGGGACTTGAGAGTCACCAGTAGTAGAAGGCATGTATCACGGTCTCCAAGGAGCACCCGCCCCGCCAGGCCTGAGGGACCCTGTCCTCCTGGGAGGGAAGTTGTGGCGAGCTCAGGGACCAGCCGCCGCCCCACCCGGGCCCGACTGCATGTTTAAATAGCACTTGGATCTGCTCGAAGAACTAATAGCTGCTCACTACACAGAAGGTAGAGAACATGCAAAGTGACAAAGAAGAAAAGAAAAACCATGTATGCCCCATCTCCCTTCCTAAGACAACCAGAGGAACACCAGGTGTGTTTTCCGTTGGTGTTTTGTGTACAGAGATGTGTATTCTAAACATAATCGGAAGTGACGTGTGCTAGTCGGCTCAGGCTGCCGAAACGGGGCGCCACGGACCGCGGGGCTCAGGCCGGGGTATTCTCGCCCAGTGCTGGAGGGGCGTCCGAGGTCCAGGTGCGGGCGGGTGGCTCTGGTGAGGCCCCTGTCCTGACTGGCCACCTTCTCAGGGGCTCACGTGGTGCAGGGGGGCTCTTCTTATGGGGCCCCGCCCTGATGACCTCATTTAACCTCCGGCACCTCTCCAAAGGCCCCCTGTCCAAAGGCAGCCATGTTGGACGGTAGGGCTTCTACACATGAATTTGGGGGACACAGTTCAGTCCGCAGCACTGTAAGAGATTCGACTGCATCCTACACGCTGTACAACAGTACCCAGCTTTCTGCGATGGGCACACTGTCCTGTTAGCCTCTGGGACTCGGACTCGGCTGTCTCTGAGGCCCAGTCCCTTTTGGGGCAGCCCTGTGACTATGGGCAAGATACTTAACCTCCCCAAGGCTCGGTCTCCTCATCTGTAAAACGGAAGCAAGAACCGGACCAGTCTTGCGGCCGCCAGAGGACCGAAGGAGACACGGTTGGCACACAGTGGGCACCGGGTACGTGTGGCACTACGGACCTAGTCCATGGCTTGAAACGGTCTTTGACAACATAACACTTAATATCTCCATAACATCCACAGCACAGACATCCTCATTTCCTTGACCATCTGCGGGATAATTGGAGGCCAGAGAGAAAGTCCCTGGGGATGCTGAAGCCAGAGGCAGCGGCTAACTCTGAGCGGTACCCAGGCTCCCGCCGGGATCCCTGCCCGGAAGGCGGCCCCGCGATCCCAGGGGGCTCCAGTCGGGTGGAGACAAAGGGCAGAGCGGAGCTGAAGGTCTGGCAGGGCTGGATGACCAAGCGGGAGGGAAGGCAGGACTGAAACGTGTGTGCGGCGAGGCTGGAGACGGAACGCACCCCTCCGCCCAGTGGGAGGTTCGGGGTGAAGAGAAAGGGACGTGTCTGGTTGGAGAAGAAAGGCCTGGTGAGGGGGAACACACCTGCCAGGCACCACTGGAGACCGTGGGCGACTCCATCCGAGTCCAGGCCACTGTCCCCTGCTGTCAGCCAGACCTCCCTGCCCTGGCTCTTGTCGCCCAGACACACCTGTCCCCATGGAGTGGCCATGCCTCCAGCTGGTCAGGGCCCCAGCCTCTGGGTTCTCCCGGACCTCGGAGGTTGAGCTCTGTGTTCTAGGTCTCAGTCCTTCCAGAAGGTTCTCCCCGCCTCACCTGAGTGACTCTTGATCCTCTTCCAGGTCTTCACTTCAGGCTGTTCCTCCTGGAGCCTGTGCTGCTCCCCTGTGACCCAGGACCCCCCAACTTCTCCCTTGTGTGACGTCGAGCACCTGTAACCACTGACCTGTAGCAGGCGACATCAGGGACAGACATGCATGATGGCTGCTTTTCCGTGGAGTCTATTACTTTCTAGGTTTTGGGTGGGCAGGAAAGGGGGCAGATTGTACGGAAAGTTCCTAACAGCCTGCCTCGCGCAGCCGCCCTTTTGCGACGCCTGGCGGGGCCGGCACACCTGTTCCCGTTGCTGAAGCAACCCTGAGACGTTACTGTCCGCTGACGTCCACAGCTGACAGTCGGCTTCCCTCTTGGTGTGATGTTCTGTGGGCTTGGACACGTGCCGGATGCCGTGTCCCCGCCACGACAGGTCATACGGATCGCTCCACTGCCCTCAAACTCCTGTGTGCATCCCGTCCACCCTCCCCCAATCACTGACTTCTTAAATCATCTCCCCGCTAGACCCTCCACTGCATCCGCGCAGGGACCCGTCTGCGTGGCGGAGTGTCCGCGCACTGTCCCCAGCTCAGAGCCCGGCGCGTGACGGGCGCCCTCTAAGTTTTTCCTTTGCGTAATTTAATAAAAATAGGATTCTATTAAACAAGTTATCCTTCAATTTGCTTTCTCCTAATATTGACAATATATCTTGGCTATCTTCCCGTCAGAGAATATAAAGCATTCTCTCTCTCTGACTCCTCATACTGGAAGATTTCCAACGTGCCTACGAAAATGGAACCTGCCACAGGACACTGTCCCCCCGCTCCAGCAGTCACCGGCTCTTGGCCTTTCTTGTTTCATCCCCACCCCTGTCCACATCCTCTCTTCCGGTGTTCCCCGAAGCAGACCCCAGACATCAGACGTTTCGTCTGTAAATGTTTCCGTGTGCATCTCCAAAATATAAGGACTTTTAAATACCACCCAATAGACGTTCATTTAATTCATCAAATAGGGTCAGCGTTCAAATGCCCAGCCGTCTCATGGATATGCATCCCGTTTGTTTTATGTGAGTTTAGAGATGGTTTCAGTGAAGATCCAGATGAGGTCCACACCCTGCAGCTGGTTGGTGTGTCCTGGGCTTTCCCTCCGTCTAGGTCCCTCCTCCCTCAGGGAGATTCTGCCCCTTGCAGTCCATCTGTCGAAGAAACAGGCTGGCATCCCGGGGTTCCCTCCATCGGGATTTTGCTGACTGCGTCCCCCTGGTGTTACCTAGTGTGTTTCTCTGTCCTCCCTGTTTCCTGTAAATTCGTAGCTGGATCCGAATCCTGATCAGATTCAAGTTCAGTTTGTTTTGATGAGACTGCTTCCGGGGAAGGGGGCGTCTCTGCAGGGAAGCTGGTCTCTGTCGTCTCTCTGTGCTGTTCCAGGCTGTTGATACTCAGCCTAGAGCCTCTCATCCAGTGGGGCTGCGAAAGGGCAACCTTCTCAGTCTGTCCGTCCCTCTTCAGTTATTTGCTGGAATGTTTTCATAAAAGACACCCCCCCCAACTCTTGGTTACCCAGAGGTGCTGTTTATACAGGACAGGCAGGACAAATGCTCGATTCTTTCCCTTTATTTACTGGTTTTCAGAATAATGAGTTGCCTATGAGTGAATGAATGAATGAATGAATGAATGAATGAACGAACGAATAATACACGTGTGGATGAGTTGAGGGGTTCTCTCTGCTCTCAAGGGCATGGGCGTGGCCATGGCTACCAGCAGAAGTGCCACCTGGGCCAGGTAGGTCCTCAGCTACACAACAAGGGGCTGGGAGCAGCTCTTGCTACCTGTCAACCCCCTTAGTCTAGAGCAAAGGTGGTCAGAGCTGGGTTGCTAAAAATACAGCATCTGGGACAAAGCATCCCGTCACCCGCCCCACCTGAGACGTAGGAAACCCTCGGAACCACGATCAAGGAGAGCAGACCTGCCGCGTGAGTCCCGGGGCGCCTTGGTCCTGGGCCGGGCTGCGGTGACGTTCCCCGGACGGGGGGGAGTCGGGCAGCGTTCGTCCTGAAGGAGGATCCTGGCGGGGCCACTGGGCTCTCGGTGCCCCCAGGCGGCCTGCCAGGAGCCGGCTGACTCTTCGTGTCCCTGCAGGTGCAAGTGTAACCTGCACGCCAACCTGTGCTCGGTGCACGAGGGCAGCCTGCAGTGCGCGTGCGAGCACAACACCACCGGCCCCGACTGCGGCAAGTGCCGGAAGAACTTCCGCACCCGGTCCTGGCGCGCCGGCTCCTACCTGCCGCTGCCCCACGGCTCTGCCAACGCGTGTACGTACAGCGGGGCGGCCGGGCCCTGGTCTCCCCACCCTTCCACCCCGGAGTTCTGGATCACTCACACGCATGCACACACACACAAGCACACGCACACATGCGTGCACACATACATATGCTCAAATGTGCACATACAGACACAAGCAGACGTGCACACAGACACATGCAAACACATCTGAGCACACATGCACACACATAAACATGTACTCACAAACATGCACACGCACACACCCACACCCCTTGTTACGTGGGTCCCAAGCGCCAGGCCTTGTAATCAGACCCTCTAGGACACCTGTGTTCTCCCAAAACCCAGTTGGCTGTCGGGCTCGGTGGGGGGCCCAAGGCAAGCTGCTCAGCATCATCCCTGCTCTCGTGCCCTTCTCGACCCCGAAGGCTGGTGTCAGGGCAGAGGGTGGGCCCTCACCCAGCTGACTGATGAGCACCGCCCCTTCTAACCAGTGTTCATGGGTGTTTACGGCACGTGCTGCCTGGTCAGCAGCCCTCCAGCCTCAGAGCCGCCCTGGAAGTCGTCCCCATCACCCCTGTGCAGAGGAGTCCTGTGAGGCCGCCCAGTCCTCTGTGCCCCGATCCTGCCCACGGCCTTCCTGTCAGGGAAGCAATCCCGGGGTGCAGCACGTGGCCCTGCATCATGAACACCCCCACTCACGGGGGCCCAGCACAGTCCACGGTGTCTCCCAGGGCGCTCCAAGCTGCAGGGCAGAGGGGCCCGGCTGGCCCTGGGGGCTCTTCCAGACACGCCGAGTGGTTTCTCTGGTGTCTGACATCTGTGCTCTCAGCACAGCTTCTCACTCAGCCCCTCGCCACAACCCCGCTGGTGGGATGGTTATTATTGCCCCATTCTCTGGACAGGCAAACTGAGGCCCAGCACCCTCAGCGCCCTCCTGGGTCTCCAGGCCCGTCACCAGGCCCGATGCCAAAGCCAGGGCTGGGCAGTGGCCGCGGGCACCCGGACAGCCGCCCGCCGCCTGGGTACCGGCAGGAGCCCCTGCAGCGGCGCCCCAGCCCCTGGGGAAGACGGATGTGGCGTGAGGCTGATCAAAGCCTCACAGTGAGGTCGTGACAGGCGTGTCGTGTGTGCTGGGCGGGCTGTGTGACAGGCCTTTGAAGCGGTGACTCCTCAGCTCTCCTGGCCTTCAAAGGCGCAGAGAACTCTGGGCGCTGATGGGCTGGCCCCTCGCTCCCGCCTCCCCAGGTGCCCGTCCCCCTCTCTTTGTGGCTGAACCATCCATCAGTCCCTGTCACTTCTCTCTGATGGCAGCCTCACTGGAGTGTGCCTGCCTGCTGGCCTCCCCTCCCCGCCCTGCCCTCTCCTCTCTGTGCCCAGCCTCCTTCCAGAAGGATCCTCCAGGGCCCCCGGGCCCCAGCAGGTCAGGCCTTCTGTCTGCAGGGCCAGGCCTTTCTCCTGACACCTCCTCCCCTCGGTCAGTCCTGCAGGCAGCTGAAGCGTCCTTGTTGGGGTGCCGGCTCCCGCTCCCCCACGGTTCCCAGGAAGTGTGGTGCACCTGTCCAAGGCCTGCGGCTTCCTCCCCGCCCGCCTTCTCTGGGTCGACCGGCCTTCTCCCCTTCCCCACCTTAGCAAGTGTCACCCACACCCAGAGGCCCGAGCTGCAAGTCTGGGGGTCACCCTCGACTACAGCCCCACCTGCCACCTCCTCCCGCAGGGCCCCTCTGCCCCTCCTGCCCCTGCCCTTCCTCATGGGGTGTTCATGGCTCCGGACCTGTGCTGCCCCCACCCCGCGCCCTCAGGGTAAAATCCTTACCAGTCAAGCCCCCTTCCGAGGCCCTGTGAGCTCATCCCCCCACGCACCTCCCACCGCGTCCCCCCACGCACCTCCCACCGCGTCCCCCACGCACCTCCCACCGCGTCCCCTCTATACCTCCCACCGCGTCCCCCCACGCACCTCCCACCGCGTCCCCCCTCGCACTTCCCACCGCGTCCCCCCACGTACTTCCCACCGCGTCCCCCCATACCTCCCACCGCGTCCCCCCGTACCTCCCACCGCGTCCCCCCGCACCGCCCACCGCGTCCCCACTGAATCCCAGCGCCCGCCCTCCCCAAGTGTCCCTGTGGCTCAGGACACACCCCTTGCCCTGTGACACTCACCTGACCACCTCCCTCACCCTTGAGGCCCAGTTTAGAGGTCACTTTGCCCCTCTGTGCCTGCCCCCCACCCCGTCTCTCCACACAGCCTCCCTGGGTGTGCCAGGCTTTCCCTGGGCTCAGGCTCTGACCAGCGCCCCCTTAAGGAAGGAGGGCGTGTCCCCCAGGCCTCCCTGTCACCCGGAGTGGGCATCCCCTGCCCACACCAGTGTCCCCAGGGCCTCCGGGGTGATAAGCGTATCCTCATTCTCACGGAACACCTGGAGGGAAGCTGAGGCCCCGGCTCCCCCTCCTGGGACTGTGACCGTTCTCCCGCGGGTACCATGAGACCCCGGTCAAACCGTGACCCTGGGCCCTCAGCCCCGGCACAGACACGCACGCACAGCTGTGGACGGGCCATTGCTCCCTGGGCCTGCGTCCTCACCTGTGGAGTCAGGCCCCGCACGGCCCCGTGGGGTGGTTGTGAGGACTGAAGGGCTCGGGCGGGGCAGGGCCGAGCACACCACCGGCGGCCACTACAGTGTTCCCAGTGTTCCTGGGCCGTCCCTCCCTTTCCCCAGATGGGAGCTCACACCAGGGCCTCTCTGGCGGTGACTCCCATTGGATCTCCAGCGAACCTGTCTGGCCCCACGGCTGTGACACTGTGTTCTCTGACGACATCGCTCCAGCCCCTTGTCCTGCGCCAGGGGACCGACAGTCTGAAGTCGGATGAGAGAGGCCCATGAGCAGCCACTTATGGGCAGGTCCCTGATAGGACAAGTCCTGGCCCTGAGACTCAGTTTCTCCATCTGCAAAATGGGCACAGTGAGGGTTCAGAACCGCCGGTGACGGGAAGGGCCCCTCCCCTGCCCTGCTCCCCCACGCCCGCTGAGGGAGGAGGTGGCCTGGGTCCTTGCTTCTCTGGCCACCATGCTGTGACCCTCTCTCCCACAGGTGCAGCTGCAGGCTCCGCCGTTGGCAGTAAGTACACACCTGGCCCCCCCTGGGGTCGGTGACAGCCTCTCTGCATGTCCGGGAAGAGCAGGAAAGGAGTGGGCTCTCCCGCCTGCTGGGCCCTGGGGTGCCCCCCCCCGACTGCGCCTGGTCCATCTCACAGCCCTTCCTGCCCCACTTTGCTGGGGTGCACCCCACCTTCACTTCCCTCCCGCTTCTTGGTCAGTGCTGCTTTGGAAAGGTCCCCATGACCCCTGGGTCAGCCAGACAAGAGTGGGGGCCACCTTCTTCCCAGCCAGCAGCAGAACCCCCCGGCCTGACGGGAGCTCTGGCGAGGCTGGGCAGTGAGCCTGGGCCCAGAGCAGGCAGGCCCCCGGAGGGACAGGAGCGTCCCAGAGCTCCCGGAGGAAGGCGGGGGTGGGGTGGGGTGGGGGGCATGCGTGCCCCGCAGACCCCGTGCTCACAGGTGGGCAGAGGGAGCATCTCATTGAACCTCGCACCTGGGCGGGCCCTGCCATCTGCTCTGAGCGCGCCTCCAGCCAGCGCTGGGAGACCCCGACCTCAGAGGTGCTTTTGGGGGGCACCGTCTCCTTCCACCGGGGCTCTCTGGGGTCAGCCCTGATCTGGACTGCTCCCTGCGGGGACGCCAGTGGGCGGAGAGGGCGCCAGGGGGAGCTGGGTCTGGAGGGGCCTCGGGTCCACTCACGGGGTCCTAAGTTGCTTCTCTGAGTGACCCCCAGCCTCCAACTCCCCCACCCTCTTTCGCTTCTCACGTCTCAGCAGATCCCAGAAAGACCCTGTTCCCACAGCTCGTGTGCTCACTGTGGCCATGAGGGGGCCAGTCACTGTTGCCCCTCCACATCCACTGCTCTGGCCCTCATGGCCCCCGCACCCCACAGCCCAGGTGGGTGCCAGGTGCCCGCCTTTCCCGCGCTGCCGAGTCCCCGCCTCTGTCTGTGGTGTTGGTGAGGCTGTGGGGCATCAGCCCTGGGAGGGCCGGGGCTTGGCCTTAGGGAGCGCTGGGACCCTGCAGGACTCACCTGCCACGGCCCCAGCCAGGGGCTTCAGGGCTCCCTTCGGTCCTGGAATCTTCCTCCTGCCCCCACCCAAGGCACCAAGGCCAGCTTAGCCAAAGGACAGGGTGCCCAGGAGGGCAGCATGCTCACCTGAAGACAGAGTCTTACTTCCTCTGAAGGCAGGACTGGTCTGTGCGCGGGCCGTGGGGTGCTGGGATGGCCCTCTGGTCTCACCTGGGTCTCGCCAGACTGCCCTCTGTAGGTACTGGGGGACCTAGAGGGCCCCTCCTTCCCAGAGGGTGCCAGGGACCCAGGGGTGGCCCACCACAGCCTGTCCTTCTCCTCCCTCCTCCACGGGAGCATTGGCAGGAGGCGGGGCTGGCCAGGGGAGTCGAGGACTTCAGGGAGGCTCTTGGCCGGGAATCATCTGGGGTGGAGGACGGAGTCACTGTGGGGTTGAGAGAAGTTGGCCCGGCCACCTGAGATCTCTGCTGTTTTCACTGAGCCAGTGAAGGGCAGACGGGAACAAACTGGTGGGTGTTGTGTCCGTCTGTACGCGGTGGTCACAGTGGTCTGTCTGGGTGGGAGGCAGATGCTCACACACACACGCACCCCGAGGACCCTTGGCTCCATTTTCTCAGCTGCGGCTGACTCGGTGCAGGGTGCAGGGTGCAGGGCGCAGGGTGCAGGGTGCAGGGTGCAGGGTGAACGGCAAGGCTGGGAGTCGGGGGTCGGGGGCCAGGGCAGTGAGCTGACAGGTGCAGGGTGCAGGGTGCAGGGCGAACGGCGAGGCTGGGCGTCGGGGGTCGGGGGCCAGGGCGGTGAGCTGACAGGTGCAGGGCGCAGGGCGCAGGGCGCAGGGCGAACGGCGAGGCTGGGAGTCGGGGGTCGGGGGCCAGGGCGGTGAGCTGACAGGTGCAGGGTGCAGGGTGCAGGGCGAACGGCGAGGCTGGGAGTCGGGGGTCGGGGGCCAGGGCGGTGAGCTGACAGGTGCAGGGTGCAGGGTGCAGGGTGCAGGGTGAACGGCGAGGCTGGGAGTCGGGGGTCGGGGGCCAGGGCAGTGAGCTGACAGGTGCAGGGTGCAGGGTGCAGGGCGAACGGCGAGGCTGGGAGTCGGGGGTCGGGGGCCAGGGCGGTGAGCTGACAGGTGCAGGGTGCAGGGTGCAGGGTGCAGGGTGAACGGCGAGGCTGGGAGTCGGGGGTCGGGGGCCAGGGCGGTGAGCTGACAGGTGCAGGGTGCAGGGTGCAGGGCACAGGGCGAACGGCGAGGCTGGGAGTCGGGGGTCGGGGGCCAGGGCGGTGAGCTGACAGGTGCAGGGTGCAGGGTGCAGGGCGCAGGGCGAACGGCGAGGCTGGGAGTCGGGGGTCGGGGGCCAGGGCGGTGAGCTGACAGGTGCAGGGTGCAGGGTGCAGGGTGAACGGCGAGGCTGGGAGTCGGGGGTCGGGGGCCAGGGCGGTGAGCTGACAGGTGCAGGGTGCAGGGCGCAGGGTGCAGGGCGAACGGCGAGGCTGGGAGTCAGGGGGTCGGGGGCCAGGGCGGTGAGCTGACAGGTGCAGGGTGCAGGGTGCAGGGCGCAGGGCGAACGGCGAGGCTGGGAGTCGGGGGTCGGGGGCCAGGGCGGTGAGCTGACAGGTGCAGGGTGCAGGGTGCAGGGCAAGGCTGGGAGTCGGGGGTCGGGGACCAGGGCGGTGAGCTGACAGGTGCAGGGTGCAGGGTGCAGGGCGCAGGGCGAACGGCGAGGCTGGGAGTCGGGGGTCGGGGGCCAGGGCGGTGAGCTGACAGGTGCAGGGTGCAGGGTGCAGGGCGCAGGGCGAACGGCGAGGCTGGGAGTCGGGGGTCGGGGGCCAGGGCAGTGAGGTCTGAGTGGGAGGAGGCTGGAGCGTCCAGTGAGGTCGCGGTCGGCTTCGCGTCCTGAGTCCGGCGCCAGGAGAAGGTGGTTCCAGGGCGACAGCCAGTGACCTGAGGGGCCTGCGTTTCGGGGTCGTCATTCCTCTTTAGCAGCTGAAGCCCCTGCCTGGGCCCCCAGTGTGCCTGGAGCCCCTCTAAGAACCACAGCCGCTGCCGCTGGTGGAGACGGCTCCTGGGCTCAGAGCTGGGCGACGGGTCGCTGTCCCGTCCCCAGGACAGGGTGGGAAGAGGCAGCTGCATTTCAGGGTGTGTAGATGTACCTTCAGGAAGCTGTGCGAAGGCAGAAGGCAGAGGAGCAGGTAACAGGATTACCAATGCACTTGCGCAGGACTCGAACTTGGGGCTGCTGACTCCGGGCGCTATTGCCCAGAGGCCTCTGGGGCTGTGAGGTGCTGCCGCCCTCAGACCTGGCCTGCACAGCTCCCGGATTCCGAGGGAAGAGGCAGGGCCTCCGCCTGGTCTTGGCACAACACAGGCCCCTTCGAGAACGTTCTTCCCGCACGTCCCTGTCCCTGGAGAGCCCTGCGGGGCCTGTTCTGCCCCCAGACCCCAGTCCCCAGAAAGGTCCCGAGTCTCTCCAGGCGCCTCCGCACAGGTGCTTCGGGCTCTCTGGCCCGAGGCCAGCTGGGCCTGTGGACTCTGGCCCAGATGCTTCTCCCTCCTGCCAGTCAGGCTGTCTGCAGGGGCTGCCTGGCGAGAAGGCCGCTCCCCACCTCAGCCTGTCCCCCAGGGGGAGTGGGAGGGAGGCGCCAAAGCCCTCAGGCAGGTTTTAGTGCGGCTCTAATTAAGCCCTTGAGTTGGGGCCCAGGCCTCGGCTCCTCCTTGGACACCAGAGTAATGTCACTTTGACGTCCGAAGGCTCCCGTCTCCCAGCTGGACCGTCCCCCGCACTTCTCACTGGTAGATTTTCTTTCTCTCCCCCCAACCAGCATCCTGCATAATCCCTTTAGAAGCAAAAAGATCCGATTTCTCCCGGGTCCCTCTGGGTCTGCCTTTGAAATTCGGCACACAGCAAGGCCCTGACTCCGCCAGCCGCTGCTTCTGCCGCTGTGTCCCGTTGGTCTGTGGCATTTGGGACTTGACTTACACTGGGGTCCCTGGTGTGCATGAGCCTGAACCAGGGGTCAGAGGGAAAGGTGGTGGCCGAGCAGGCAGGCCGGATGCTGGAGGACGTGCTGTCCCTGCGTTGGGTTGGACAGGACGCCTTCAAGGACCCTCTGGACACGTTGGATGTCTTGGCCAGAACACATGTCCCTTAGAGCCATTAGCCAGAGACTTCAGCACAGACAGGTCTGGGCCCAGGTACAGACTCGATCTGACTCTCCTTCGGTGGGGACGGGACCACAGGGCGGGTGGAAGAGTTCCCAAACCCGGAGCCCGCACGCCGGAAGAATGCAGCCACAGGCACGGAGCGCGCCCCCCCCCCCTTCGGCCACACGTGCCGGCTGCAGGCTGCAATGGTAGACACCGCCTCCTGGAGCTGGACCCGTCCTGCCGGTCAGTGTAGACAGAGCCGCCTCTTACAGTGCTGTTTCTGATGAGGGCCAGTGGGGTGCGGTCCTCAGTGGCCCCAGGACACCCCAGCCCCACCCCCTTGCATGACTTTGTTTCTTCTCTTTTTCCCCCAAGAGTGGAACAGGCCATCGACAGCAGCCCCCCCAGGGGAGAGCCCCCCCTGGCCCCAGGTGTCCTCCCGTGCAGAAGGTATGGGGGGAATCTACTTCTTAGACCCACGGGCACCCCCTTAGTGGAGGCAGCAGGTATACGAAGTGGGGATCTGGGGCGGGGGGGGGGGGCTGAGGGGAGGGGCCTTGGAGCTGTCCCCACCCCGCACCTAACTCTCACCTAGGTAGGGTCAGTGTGACATCACCAACCCCCCGCACCCCCCAGGGCTTCAGAGCCCAGCGCAGGCGCGGAGAGGCCTCTCTGGGGCAGCCATGGAGCTGTGTCAGGGGGCTGCCTGCCGGCGGCTCTGAGCAGATGACAGCAGGCTCGGTCCAGGCAGAGGACCTGTGGGCAGACTTGGCGGTGGGTTGGCAGTGAGCAGCCCCCCTGACAAAGGGGGAGATGTGCTGGTTAGAGGAGGCCCTGGTACCAGGCCCAGAGCCCCGTTCTGACAGCAGGAGGCACGCTGGCTTGTAGCCATAGCCTGACACACACGGGAGGCACACAGGACCTGCAGCGTCTCCGAGAAGGGAAGCCATCCGCGTTCCAACTCACCTGTGCCCTGGACATGAATCGCTCGTGCCCCTGAGGCAGAACCCGACCCTCCACCCCTCCAACCGATTCCCCTCCAGCACCAGCGCTGGGCAGTGAGCAGGGCTCTGAGCGCCCTCTGCTGGCAGGATGTCCAGAGCTGGAACCACAGTCAGTGAGGGAGGGTCTGCAGGTCACTCCCAGCAACATGGGGGCCCCTGAGCCTGGCATCCTCTTAGGTGATGTACACAGAGTCGGCTAGAGCCATCACTGCCCTGCCCTGGACTGGCTGGGGCACCAGGCTCCCAGGGGGAAGCTGAGGGGATGATGCTCCCGGCAGGCTCACCCACAAACGTGGGGTGGGTTCTGGACAGTCTGTGCTCATGGGAATCATGGATGGGAAAGGACTCGCTTTGGCTGGGGCAGGGAGATGGCTTCTGAGAGGGAGGGAGAAGCCAAAGGCTGAATGCCAGGCTCAGGACGAGGCACGCTCGGGAGTTGGGGGCAGGACAGCAAGAGAGAGCGCTGGTTTTAATCACACACAGACTGCCCGGCTTCAGCAGAGGGCCTGTGCGCCGCAGGGTGCTGGGGCAGAGGAGTGATTTGGGAGGACGAGTCCAGCAGGGGAACAGCTGGTCTCCCAGGGGGACCAAGGGAGGGCCGGCTCCGTGAGCTCCGTCACCTAGAGTCTCAGCAGGTGCGGAACTGCCCCGAGCGTGCAGGGCTCCTTGGGAGCCTTTGCCAGGCGCATCCTGGGCCCTGACAGCCTGCCCTGGGCAGCTGCCCTGTGGCTGAAGGAGGAGTTGTTTCTCATCTCTCCAAGCTGCGGGCACCTTCGCCGCTGCCCCGGCCCCGGCCTCCAAACCTTTCCAGCTCAGGCCCACATCTCAAGGGATGCCTGCTGAAGAATTCCAAGGTAAGGGGAAGGCCCAGGGCCGGGCCAGCCTCCCCCAACACCTCCGCGGGAAAGCGATGCGGGATGGAGTGCCCGCACCGGGCTCAGAAACCCCGGACTAGCTGGGTCAAGGTGAAACGGAGCCTCTTCCCTCCAGCCCTCTCTTCCCAGGGGAGTGGGGAGCGGGGGTGAGTCAGAGCACAGTGGGCAGCCCCGGGCGGCGGAGCAGCTGCCAGAAATAGCCTGTCCCAACTCCCAGGGGCTCGCCTGGGTTGAAGCAAGGTCTGGGACACAGGGGTCACCGACACTGCTCCTTGGGACACTTGGAGGGTGCCTGCCTTCTTGTCCTTGGAAAAATAAGGTGAGGGGGGCAGGTGCAGGAGGCCCATCTCCTCCTGGGCGCATCTCTCCAGGGGCTCCTTTCTCCAGGGTCTCCCATCCCCTTGACCCCTGACCCCTGGTCATCCCTCCCTCTTCCATCACAGAAGGGAAGGTGGGTCCTCTGGAGACACAAAGATGATATCAGCATCCTTCCTTGTTCAGGGGTAGCCACATCCGCTTTCTTACTCAGGGGGGTGTTGAGTCCCATAGGAGGGTCACTAAGAAAGGGCCCCTCCTCTTGCATCAGGGAAGGTGACCCTCCTTACCAAACCCCAACCCTTCATGAGGTCATGGAATCTGCCTCCCCTCCTCAGGGCCTTGCCCCAGGCGGTCCCAGGACTGGCTCCGTCCCAGGACTGGCTCCGTCCCTGGAGCGATGGAGGCTGGAGGAGACAGTGTGGTGGTGCGGAGAGGGCTGCCCCCAGTTAGAGTCCCAAGCTGGGCTGGGACTAGGGGGCAGCAAAGCCAGCGGGCCCTCTGGTGTCAATCAAATTGGCAGAACAGCTCAGGCTTCTAAGGGCCTGCAGGTGGTGTTTTACCTTCCAACCATCTTCCAAAGCAGCACAGGGAGGAAGCTTCTGGCCCTTTCCATCCATCCAGGGTGCATGTACCTCCCTTCACTGAGTGTGGGGACACAGCGTGAGCGCCGTGAACCCAGGCACTGCCCTCCCTGCATGAATCATTTCTAATCACCCTGGCATCCCTCGGGCATCCCTGCTAAGAGCACCTCGCTTGGCACCCAGCAGGTGCTGCCCACTAGCCCTCCCCGGGGCCCAGCCACGGGGCCAGGTGGGAATTCGTGAGCTAAGCCCACACTGGCTCTCCTCCGGGCCCAAAGCCGGCCTGTCTCTCCCCAAATGCTGTCGAAGTTATGGAGGCCCAGGCCCCGTGCCAGGTCCTACACCCCGCACGGCCCGGGGCGGGTCCTGGCGCTCAGTTTCCCTGGAAGCGCGGGGGAGGGGCGGCAGGGGGCCCCCGTCCCGACCCGCTGACCCGCCGTGTTTCTCGGCTCGGCCCAGACTGCGAGTGCTACGGCCACTCCAACCGCTGCAGCTACATCGACTTCCTCAACGTGGTGACCTGCGTCAGCTGCAAGCACAACACGCGAGGCCAGCACTGCCAGCACTGCCGGCTGGGCTTCTACCGCAACGGCTCGGCCGAGCTGGACGACGAGAACGTGTGCATCGGTGAGCCCGCGGCTGCGGACGGCCCCGCTTCAGCCTCGTCCAAGAAGGGAGCCTCCAGAATCTGTCCTGGGGGCGCGGGGGCTGGGGCTGGTCTGACGCCCCCTTGCTGCGCCTGTGGGCACTTCCCTTCTGGGGCCCAGCTTGTTTGTAAAATCAGGAGGTGGATCGGATCAAAGGTTTGAACCCCTTTCTGTGGCCAAAGCCACAGATTTCTCAGATGCAATTCTTCAAATGCTTTATAAGCAGAGCCCAGCTTACAAAGTGCCTCCACCCCCCCGTGGACCCCTGGTCTGCTTTTTTCAAACTCTGCTCCAGAACTGGCTTTGGGGACCCTGAGCCTGGGCAGAGACAGGTCATCCCAAAAAACCAAAGCCATGCCCCCAACCAACACCCACCAGCCTGGAAGGACTGCCCACCACCCTGCCCCTGTCTGCAGGAGAGGCCAAGTCTCAGCCCTGGTGCTCACCCCCCCCCCCCCCCCCCCGACCGCACTGCCCCTCCCCCAGGCCCGCTCCGGCTTGGGAGAGGGGGGCTGCCCACAAAGCCGGATCTGTCCGTTTGAATCACAGCAGAGGCTTTCAGATAATTCCATCAACTCTAAAGTGATCCAAATAGAATTGTGCCGCTGATGTCACACCGGCCAGCTGCAGGGACAGGGCAAGGCCTCTGGACCCGATTAGAGGCTCCTCTCGTCCCCCAGCATCTGTCTGCCTTAAACCTCGGGCCTAGCACTGGGCTTCAAGAAGTCCCAGAGTGGGGGCATTTGCCCCCTCCCAGAGAGCAGAGGCCCCAGGAAACCAGCTGGGGAGCAGCTGGGGGAGACTGGAGGCCCCTGGGGCTGTTCCTCCACCCGCCCTGGAAAAGAGCTGTAGGTGAGGACCCCCCCCCCCCCAGCCCCCAGGGACACAGGCCCCTGGGCCTCTGATGAGGCTCCTCCCACCAGTCAGTCGCGGCTCTTTAGAGCTGAGATGGATCAGCGCCCACCCCAGTCACAGACGCAGAGACTGAGACCCAGAGCGGGAAAGGGCCTTCGCAGGCACAGTGCCAGGCCAGGGGGAGGAGACGGAATGCCGGGGAAGCGGTCGGTCTTCCCTCGCCATGTGGACGCTCCCGGCAGCTCCCACCCTCCGCCCGCCACGGGCTCGGACAGGGCGTGGGGAGTATCCTCGGGCAGTGCGGAGCCGGGCTGGGAGGAATGAGGGGCCGGGCGGGGCGGGGTCCTGGTCCGCAAGTCGCCCTGACCACACCCGGTGCACCTGTCCGTCCAGAGTGTAACTGCAACCAGATTGGCTCGGTGCATGATCGGTGCAACGAGACCGGCTTCTGCGAGTGCCGTGAGGGCGCGGCGGGGCCCAAGTGCGACGACTGCCTGCCCACGCACTACTGGCGCCAGGGCTGCTACCGTGAGTGGGGTGGGGCCGGGGGGCGGGGCGAGGGGCGGGGCCTTGTGCTGGGGGGGCGGGGTGCCGGGGAGCTGATGCTGCCAGGGTAGGGGCCCCCGCGGGAAGGAGGTTTCACGGGGGTGGCCTGAGTCGGGGCCAGCGGGCGGGGCGGGCCTGTGCGACGGGCCGGGGTCGGGCGCAGGTGGGAATCACGGGAGAGGTGGAGCTGGGTGGCTTGGGAAGGGAGCTGGGGGTTGGCTGGAGTTGGCCGGCCGGAGGAGCGAGGGAGCGAGGCTGTCCGAGGAAGTGGCCTGGTGGAGACCCGGCGTCAGCCACGGCGAGAGGGTGGGAGGGCGCGTGCCCGGGAGCGGGACAGAGCCAGGGCAGCCGCGGAGGGAGGCAGGGGCCCGGGCCCCCTGTCGCTGCTACTCCCCCGAGGGCACGTGTCGAGTGCGCCCTGAGCCTCCAACATCCCCCTGGCCCAGGCCGCGCCCCGAGGGGCACGTGGGGCTCCTGGGGGGAGGGGACCGGGCCACCACCCAAGTAACTGCTCCACCGCCCGCAGCCAACGTGTGCGACGACGACCAGCTGCTCTGCCAGAACGGCGGCACCTGCTTGCAGAACCAGCGCTGCGCCTGCCCGCGCGGCTACACCGGCCTGCGCTGCGAGCAGCCCCGCTGCGCCCCCGCGGACGACGGCGGCGGCCTGGACTGCGACCGCGCGCCCGGGGCCGCGCCGCGCCCCGCCACCCTGCTCGGCTGCCTGCTGCTGCTGGGTCTGGCCGCCCGCCTGGGCTGCTGAGCCGCCGAGGACCCCGCGCCGGGCGGCCTGCCGGGGCCAGGGGCCGGGCGGCGAGAAGGGGCGGCCCGAGCTGCTCCCAGGTGCTACTCAGCAGAACCCCCCGCCCTCCTCCCGGCCTCGCCGCGGCACCTCCCCTCGCCCAGCACTGCAGCAGGGGGCGCCGTGGGGCCCTGGCCCCGGCGGTCTGCAATTTTGGTCTTAGTTTTTCTATTTCCAGCACCCCTTTCCTTTTTTTATGTTTATTTTTGCTGGCGGTGAGACGAGGGGTGGGGAGAAATGCCGCGCACCCCAGGGACACACGACTGTTGCGCACACCCCTGCGCCTGTCCCTGGCTTGCCATCGGCCAGCGGAACTCCACCTCTCCAGTTGCCTACAGCTCCAGTCGCTGACTTCTCTTTTATATTCTTTTCTTGGTTTTCCTTCGCAACCCGCCAGACCCGAGAGAGGCCTGGTGACCGGGAACTCGCTGCCGGGGAGGGCTAGGAAGGCAGGTTTGGAGGGCTGGAAGCGGTTTTGTAGAGAACTATTTTTGTTTGTATTAACCGTCCCCTGGGAGAAGGGACAGAAGCGGATGCTGGTCCCCACGGGGTGGGCGATGGCGTGTAATCGGACAGAGTAAAGAATCTGCTCGCTGCTGCGTCCAGGGCCTGTTTTCTTTCCGTGCTCACTGGGATTTGAAGAGGAGCCCACAAAATAGCCTTAAGGAAACTGCTCACTTCCAGGCCACGACCCCCAAGCCCTCCGGTGCATGGGAACAGGCAGCCCTGCCCCCCAGGCTGGCGGAGTAGCCCTCTCACCGCCTGGCCAGGCATGGCCCTGCCGGTGACCACCACGTGTTCCCCAAACTTGGGAGGTTGCTTCCCTCCTTTCACTAAAACCAAAACCAAACCAGTTTATCGCACTTTTCCTCAGCTGCCTTCAAATTCGAAAGCACGTGGTGGACACTGATAGGCTGCTGAGAAGGGCAAGGATGTGATGGGGCAGCGTTCTAATTTAGAAATCAGGGCGGTGGTGTGGGCTCAGACCTGCCGGACCCCACGACTCCACCCAGCATCTGCAGCTGCTGCCTCCTTCCGGAGCCCACTGTTGGCCCGAGTCCCAAGGTGGACACAGTCCTGGGTGGGCACAGCAGGGACCCAGGGGCAGCATGGGGGTTGAGAGAGGGTGCGCTGAAGGATGGGGCCCATCAGTGGAGAAGAAGCCCTTAGCTAGGGAGGGTGCTCATGTGTTTCCAACCCCTGGTGGTTGCACCCAGATTTCCCTGCCCGCTACTTACTTTCCCACAGCCTGGAAGGCTCCCGGGCCGCGGATCCGGGTCTGGCCCCGCACTGCCCCCGCCGGGACGTTCAGACTGGCCACACTGCATCCAGGCCCCAAGGCAGGGCTAAGACCGAGCTGAACAAAACCTGGCCTTGAGGATGAAGCCAGCACAGCAGAGGGGTAGCTGCGGCTGATGATGTGACTAGCTGCATCTCAAGGCCCACCTGCCCCCCCAGTTCCCGTCCCCAACGCCAGATTGCAGGGGTCAGCTCCCAGCCCCCAAGGAAGTGCCTTCTGTCAGGTCCCTGTGGCTTCACCTCCTTCCCATTGACTGAACCCACTCCGCCCGCCCGCCCGGCAGGAATAAAACTTGTCTGGGGCTCCTTGTGCCTAGGAGTGGCCACAGGACACAGTTCTGGCCAATGAGATGTAAGCAGGAGTGATGAGTGGGGCTTCCAGAAAGTTCCTTCCAAACCCCCCCACCACACACACACGCTACAGGAGCCTCAGGTGGCCCAGGACTAGGCCCTGGCTTCCTCTCCCCTCCCCCACTGCTCAGTCAGCAGGGCTGTGGGGAGGGCGCCTGGCAGCCCTGGGTGAGAGCGATGGGCCAGGAAGGTGAAGCCGCCTGTCTGAGGACCTAGCCCAGGAACCAGCCCTGCTCGTGACCTCCGCACTTCTAAATGTGAGAAAAAATAAACCTCGATGTGATTCAAAACTGGAATTTGGGTTTTCTGTTACCGGCAGACTTACCAATTCCTGCTATAGGCCCCGCCCACCCAGCATCCAGGCACCGAGTCCCCTAAGGGCAGAGAGACTTCCACCCTTCGGTCACGGCTCCCAGAGCGCGTCAGGCCAAGGACCAGGCCCTGCCGCCTCCAGCCGCCTGTCCAGACAGGACCTGCCTGCGCCCTCCAGCTGCAAACGAGTCCAGGAGGGGCAGCTGACCCAAATCCACCTCGGCAACCACCAGTGCAGGCTGCAGTCTGTAAGCAAGTCGCCTTCCCCTATCATCATGGCGTTAAAATACGAAGGCAGGCCTGGTGGGCGGCTCAGCTGGTTGGAGCCCCGTCCCATCATGTCGGGGTTGCAGGTTCGCTCCCCAGTCAGGGCACATGCTCTAAGATCAATCAGTAAAAAAGTGATTTTTAAAAATACAAATGAATGCCCGCCAGTGTGGCTCAGTGGCCCGGTCAGGGCACATGCTCAGTGAGGGACGTGCAGGAGGCGCCAATGTTCTCTCTCATTGATGTTTCTATCTCTCTCTCCCTCTCCCTTTCTCTCTAAAAATCAATCAATAAAAAATACAAAGGAATCACAATAATTCACCCCCCACCCCCACCCCAGTCTGGGTCCGGTTCCTTTGCCAGCAGCAGAATTCAGACGGGTCGATCGGCCCGTGTGTTTGTTGAATTGAGAGGGGACGGCCCTCCAGCATAAATCACAGGTTGAGGCAAGGGGGCAGCTTCCTGCTGGTGTGGGGGCTGCAGGGGGAGCCCCCTGGTAGAGAAGGGGTGCAGCAGGAGCTGTTAACAAGCCAACACAGCAGTGGGGCAGGGCGCTCCCAGAGAGGAGCCCAGGGCTGCAACCAACAGCATCTGCTACGCACGTGCCCACACACACACCCCTTTGTGTCGCTCTGGGTGTGTCCCCAGAAGTCTCCCGAGGGGTCTGGGAGGAGAGGGTCCTCAGTGGCTGCACTCTGCCCTCCCTGCCCTCCCCCAGCCCGACCAGTGCCGCGTCAGCTTCCCTGGGGCTAGCCCTGGTGCTGCGGGCCAGGGAGGTGGAGCGTGTCATAAATCAGAGTGGCAGCCCCAGTCCCTGAGGAGGCGGCTCAGCCCTGACCTCAGCCGCAGGCTGGAGGGAAAGTTGCCAGTGGCTATTTGGAAATTCTGACATCTTCCAGGCAGCTGGGAGAAGGAGAAAACAAGGGTATTGGAGCCGAGTCAGAGCCCAGCCTCTTTGCCGCTGTGACCATGTCCTGAGCTGGTTTGACGTTGTTCAGAGTTCAAGAGAAGGCTCCGCTTCACAGCTCACCCCACCTTCACCCTAAGCCACTTTCTCAGCCTCGGTGCCCCTGACACCTAGGGCGGGATAACTGGGGGGAGGGGCCTATCTTGATCACTGAAGGGTCTGCAGCACCCCTGGCCTCCAGGCACGGCTGCCAGCCTAGCTCCCTCCCGGTGATTACAAGTGCCTCCAGACACCGCAGCCTGGGAGCAGACTTGCCCCAGGTGAGAACCACTGAGCCAGGCAGGATGGTCGCCCTCCCCTCACAGAAGGTGGAGAGGCTAGGAGGCACCTCTGCCTGGGGCACTGGTTTGGGTTAAATGCTGGGTCTGGAGTCAGGCTGTTCTTAGCAAGTGAAGTAAGAAAGCCTGACTCCAGACCCAGCATTTAACCCAAACCAGTGCCCCAGGCAGAGGCGTCCTCCCAGGGCTGCACCCCAACCGCTCCAGTCCCCTCCCTCGCCCTGCTGCAGCAGGAGGCCCGGGGGAGCCAGATTTCATCCGAATGGCTTTGCTGTCAGGGAAATGCCTCCCGGCCACCCCTCCGCGGCAGCCTCACCCCTGCCCCCACCTCTGAATAAGCAGACAGCTAGGTCTGCAGTTTCTGCCTCTTCTGCCTGGTCCAGTTGTGAGCGTTTCACAGGCGCCCGGGGAGCAGCTGTGGGCTCTCGGGATCTCAGCAGGCTGGCCAGGCCGGAGCAGGCCAGACCGAGGCGGCGCACCCCTGCCTGCACCCTGCCCGGGTCCCAGCACTTACACCCTCCCGTCCCCTGGGACCCCCGCACATCCCAGGCCAGAAGAGTTAAGGGAAAAGGCCCACAGAAGAAAAGCTTTACTTGCTAATTTGTCCTTTTAAAACCACAAATCATGGCTGTAGGGAAGTTAGAAATACAGAAAGGCAAGATGATAATTTTTATATTAAAATCACCCACAAACCATCCAGAGCTAATAACTGTTACTACTGCTGATGGATGTCTCTAGTACTTTTCCATAAAACAAACAGCGCAGACGACCTCCCCGCATGTGCTGGGCCCCCGTGAGGCTGTGCTGGGAGCTGACATCTTGTTTCGAGGACGCTGGCTCCCACTCATGAAGCCACTGTCCAGCTGAGAACCTGGGGCTCCCAAAGCGTCCTGGTCACAGGGCTGAGGCATCGAACCCAGAGGCAACGCTGGGTGATTTCGGCAGGAAAGGAGATTTGAGGGACCCCAGGACGCAGAGATTCAGGTCAGGGAACTAGAGGGTGGGAAGGCCCAGGAAGCCATACCAACACCCACACTGCTGCCTCCGGGGCCGGAGAGGCCCCTGTCCCTGTGGCCTAGACGCTGCCTCAGCCCCACCCTCGCCCCCAGGTGCCTCCAGCTGGTGACGCCTGCCCCCCCCACCGTGTGCCCACCCGTGTCCAGCAGTCTTCACTCTGTCAATGGAGGTGGACTGTCTTCCCCCAACCAGAGGAAGGGCACAAAGAAACAAGGACAATCCAGCACAGAGAGGGTAGGTGAGTTGGCCAAGGTCACACAGCCCAAAAGAGGCAGAGTCCAGATGCAGACCCAGTCTCGGCAAAGAAGCCCAAGCTTATAGCACTCAGCTGCACAACGGCCTCCTTTTCCCTCCTTTATTCATTTATTTATTTTAAAGAATACTTTGTTGCTTTTGAGAGAGGGAGGGAGAGACAGACAGAGAAAACCAATATGAGAGCGCAACATCAATCAGCTGCCTCCTGCACAGCCCCTACCGGGGATGTCGAGTCCGAAACCTGGGCCTGTGCCCCGACAGGGAATCGAACCAACCACCTCCTGGTGCACAGGGCGATGCCCAACCAACCGAGCCACTCGGGCCAGGGCTTACCTTTTTTTTTAAACAGTAATAACCTTGTCTTATATATACCCTCTTCAACCCAATGACGTTTAGCGATGTTCCCTGAATGTCAAAGATCTTTTAAGATAAAGACAGCAGCACTCCATCCCCCCTCCGGTTTTCTGCCTCTGCTGCTGCCCTCTTCCCAACCTGAACCCAGGATCTGCTGGCCTCGGGACTCTGCTCCTGGCAAAGATGTCCCACTGTCTGGCCCATGTGCCCCTCGGGCATGACAGGGTCTGGCCAGGTCCCCAGAGTGTGTGGCTGTGTTCCTGGTGGCACAGTTCACAGTTGACCCAGTGCCCACATTTTCCCTGAAGAAGGTGGTCCTCGAAGCAGACGGGATGATGGCAAAGGGCACCTGGACGACCTTGGGCAGGTTACTGTTTCTCTGTGCCTAGTCTCATCCGTGAAATGGGTGTTCAAAACGCTGTCGTTGCCCTGGATCACAGGGTGATGGTGAGATCACAGCGGTGACTCGGGCATGTGGTACCCACAGCACTGTGGGCGCACGCTGCCAACTGCCAGCCCTTGTCCGTGTCCCTCCCCTCCCACGTGGTGCCAGAGCCCATGCTCTCCAGCCGCAGGATGCTGTCACCACCCGGGGAAGGGGAGGGCGTGCAGGGCCCTCCCTGCCAGCAATGCCGGTATGCTGGGGGTGGCCCTGGCGTCGGCTTCGCAGCAGCCTCCCCGTGCCATCGGTCTCACGCACACTCTGGCATGTGACAGTGTTAAGAGCTGGGTGTGTACTGATCCATGGCCTGGGAGTCACTGTGGACATTCGCGGTCCCAGGTCACACATTTAGCCCTAACTTGCTAACCTAATTCACTCGGCACCAGACTCAGTAAGTGGGAAATTGTGGGGCACAGCCCAGGAGTGGGAGGTTCTGGAGAGCTCCCAGGTGACCACGAAGCGTGCCATGGGTTGGAAACTCTGTCTAGAGGTCCCGCTTGCAGCGTGCTGCTGGGCATGGCACGTCCAGGGCGCCCGGGCGTGGGCCGTGGGGAGTGCCACCCAGCACTCGGGACTGCCGCCACAGGCACCTTGTGTGTCACCTGACTTGGCAAGTGCCTTCTGTGCAGGACAGTGACAGTAACTCAGGTCCTTTAAAGAGTTATGGAGAAATCCCACGTGTATGGAAACTGCCTTTTTGGTGCCACCAACACTATGAATTCTATTTAAGCTGAAGCTAAATTTTCGTTTCCTCCCTGAATCACCGGCTCCTCAAACCCCGAGCGGAACCCCAGGAGGGGAGGGGGCTGCGCCCGGGGCGGACAGGAGTAACTTCGAAGTCACTGCTACAGCAATAACTGGCTCTGAAATGACACGGCCGCCGAAGGGCACGAAGCTCTCATCAGGCCCCGTGGCGAGCTCACTGTCCCCGCACACTGTCCCCTCCTGGGAAGGTGTGCACGGCTGGGAGGAGCCAGGGGCCCGGGACGCTGTCTGCTGGCTCGCCCAGGGACAGTGACACCGAGGCTGAGAGCCGTGGTCCCCCAGGAAGCACACTGCACCTTCGTTCAATAAGAGCTCCTAACCCGTCTCAGCTGTTTCCACATTTTAATTCTGCAACTTTCTCTTAGAATTCAAGTTTAACAAAGACAACAGACCTAACGTGTGCAAATCCCAGCTAGGAACTCAAAAGCATAGAAAAAATCAAAGCTTCAGCACAAATTACAATGTGCACATTTGCTTTAGAAAATAGTTCAGGTACATTTTGGTTATAAAACTCATTTACAGATTATTCACATGTACTTAGCAAAATTCTCCTGATAATATATGAAAACAGAACTTAATAAACTGTGCACAATGAACCCAAGGCAAAGAACATATAAAACAGCAACGAAGTAGAACGTGCGCACGCGGAAGAGCCGACCCGGAAGGAAGCAGGTCCTCCCGCACACCGCCTGGCCAGGACCAGCACACGGCCCTGCTCGCCGCCCCTGCAGCGAGCGCACCTGCCGCTGACGCCGGCTGTGACAGCCACATCAAGAAAGGCCCCTCGGGAAGTATGACATGCTTTATGCAAATGCTCTCACCAACTGAACAAGCGTTTCGGACGAAGGTCAGGCCTGCCTGCACCCTGCGGACAAAGCCGGGCTCCGACTGCACTGCGCGAGAACAGGCATGGGACGTCACTGGGGTGACCCTGCTCGGGCATGGGGCACAGCATGTGTCCTGGGGAACACGTGCTTCTCCATTCCCTGCTGCAGAAGCATAGTGGGTGACAGTCTTCACCCCAACATTCTGTCACGCCTCCTTTACAAGTTTGCAGAGTCGTCAGACGCTACACTGTTGTCACCACTCCCAGTATCTGCTCTGTGAGCATTCTGACCAGGCGGTAGGAAAGGAAACCTTAAAGTAACAATGAGATTTCGTGCCCCAGACACATGCGGGAAGCTTCCCGAGCCCTGGCCTCCACCCTGCCTCTCTTCTGTGGCACAGCCCAGGACGAGCGCTCCCCGAGGGACAGGGGTGCTGTCGGACACCAGTGAGAAGGACACAGGCAATGAAAAGCAGACTGTTTAAACTTTGGGCAACCAAACATTGCTTTTTAAAGAACTCTTAGCAATGCGCTTTGGTAGAATCTCTGACACAAAGCCTACAAAGCAGATGACAAACGAAAGCTCAAGAGGTGCACACTCAGCTTCAGGGCTTGTGGCTCTGCCACTAGCTCGCGCTGCAGCACATCCCCAGACCTGGTTCCAGCAACTGCCGCTGTCACCAGTGGGCCTCCCCCGCCTGTGACGCTTCCCCTCGGTTCTGTGTGTCCGGAACATCGCACTTTGGATTCGGCCCCTCCCTGTCCAAGTCTCTCAGCTCTGCTCACTACACTCACTTCCCCTCACCAGACGCTCTGCAACACTGGTGTCTTTTCACAGGTTCACGTGGTTTCTAAAGGTCATAGGAAATGTCACCTCTCTTCCTGGTTCTCAACTCCCAAGTACTTGCACCTCTCTACTAGCCTGCTCTTTGAAAAGGGTGCTGATTCCTGCCTGAAACATCCACACCCTGCCTGCCTCATGGTCCCCTAGGAGCTGGTGACAGAGTCGCTGGGGAGATGCTTACGGGAACAAGCAGCTGGTTCTCCGGGTGGCGTGCAGGGCCGCCCAGCACTGCGAGCCCGGGCGACGCAGCTGGAGCGCCAGGCAGGGGCGCTCACGGTGGGCCGGGGTGTCATTCTTTCAGTCTCCTGCTTTGGGAAGGGTGGGATCTTAGCTAGAGAGCTACGTTATCCTAAAACAGGTAGCTGAGCTCATCACAGGAATGTAACGTCCCGGGCCAAGGTGCCTTGTCTGAAAACGCACGTCAGCAGAACCTGACCTCCAGGAGGCTCCTGTCACTTCTGTAAGTAGAACTGGAGACACTGACCCGTTACCTCACGGGTCCCAGACCACCCAACCTGTCACAGACCTGCTTGGCACCTCAAGGGCTGAAAGGGTCTGCCCTCCCCCTGCTTTTCTTTCTTTTTAACATAGATATGTTCTGGTGAAAATAATTAACATTTTAAGCAAGGGTTAGCAGTCTACTAGATTAAATTTTAAAAGAATTTTGCTATTCACTATACAAATATACATTTCAGCTCCTAAAACACTCACTGGGTCTGACCTAACTTTTATGGAAGAACGAGACCGACACCTCGAGCCTTTGGCTTCAAGGCACCATCACTAATGCACACAGGCCCCGAGTGTCTGCAGCTGACAAGAAGTCCTGCAGATGCTCGGGGCCCAGGGGTTCGGATATACTTTCCATGGCCTCCAACAGCTCACAAACTCCTTTAAGAAAAAAAGTCTTATCTGGATAGTCCTCTTAGCCGGTCACCATAAGCTTGCAATGACGCTTGTGGCCGACAGCGTATGTCCCCTGGCTTCCCTAGAGCTTCCTTTTCTTTGAACCGCTGTCCTCCTCTGGTCTCCCATTGTCCCAGCCAGAGTCCCTCTTGGAGTGATGGCTCACAGAGCTAAGCATGCCCTGGTCCCCGTCACTGACAGCCCTGGTCTCTCTCTGGTGGCTGTGCTCCACTTCCTGGTCACAGGTACTTGTATTTGTGGGGGCAGCGCTGGCAGCAGGAGGGTCACATGGCACGTGAGGTCTGTGGCTGCTCCCTGTGGCCGTGGACTGCTCCACGGAGCTGCCCAGAGCCTGGGGACTCACGGGGAAGCTGGGCTCTTCCGAGGGAGGGCTTGCTCCAGACTGCTGGGGGCTCAAGGGCTCTGGATCTCTCAGGCAGCTCCCTCTGGCTTCAGGGCTCAGGCCCATCCTCCTGAGCAGCCGTGGGTCCCGAAGCTGGTCCCGCACAGGCCTTTCAGACTCCCTCGCAGCACCAGCGGCGGCAGCTCCGTTCGAGTCCCAGGGTGTGTGGTACAGGGAGGAGGCGAGCAGCGTCCTGAGGGGTTCGCTGTCTAGTCTGCTGCTGGGCGAGCCGCCCTGGGGGCCGCCGCCCTCCGGGCCTGTGCAGGAGGGGTGGGTCAGACTTCGCTGCAGCGTGGGCCTGAGTTTCAGGATCTTCACAGCATCGTGTTTGTAGTTCTTGCTGCAGGTCTTGATGATGGCGCCTCGCCTCTGTGCGTCCTGAATCAGATGGTTCCAATGCTGATTGTCCTTGAAATCAAGACAAGGGAGAGACGGTTACACCCCAACAGACACTCACAGGCATGAGGGCCCAGCTTCATGTCTGAACAAAGAAGTAGACTTCCACGAACAGATTCTCCAGAATCCGTGACTCGTGAGACACGGCTGAAAGGGAAAGAAGTCAGCCGGCAGCCCGACAGCCGTCAGAGCTCACCATGTGTGAAGAAGGGCGCTGGCCACTCCCTGCTGCGGCTCCCGAGCGGCTGCGTGCAGCTGCACCCTGGACAGCGGCCCAGGGACCCATTTACATTTCGACTACTTAAAATCAAATGAAGCAAAACTTTAGTTGTACCAGCCACATTTCAAGTGCTCAGTGGCCACCTGTGACCAGCGATTAGCGTGCTGGACAGTGCAGACAGAGGACTTTGTCGTCATCCCAGGAAGTGCCCTGGCCACTGCTGATCTAGTCTCGCCTGCCTCTTGCAAGGCTAATGACGTTCGGAACAGGAAGGGTTGCTTCACAAAGCCCTAACTTCTGAGTGCTCATGACTGTTCTAGAAAAAGTGCCTTAGCTTTCATCAAATTCCTGCAGGCTTCCCAAACTCCATAGGGCTAACCCATCTTAATCCAAGGATATCTGTCCTGGTGCTTCTCTGTCTCAGAGGAGCTGAGGTTAGAAAAGCACGTCTAAGGAAAGAAAACCCACCCGACTGCTCGTCTCTCTCCTCTCGTCCTCAGCAGCGAACTGCTTCTGCATACCCTTCAGAACGTGGGCCTCATTTGAAAGGAAAAGGAGCATGGGGAGACAAAAGACAGAAGCCGGGGAGAGCGGAGGCGGCCAGCTGCCCCGGGCCGTGCTGCCATCGACAGGCGGAGGGCGCCAGGACCAGGCAGACACAGAGTTGACTGTGTGGGACCCGGCCCCTCGACCTCTGAGCCTGTCTCCTCATGTGTGAATAGGATATTGCAGTCAATGTGTTCCACATGCACGCTGTCTTTGCATTTTACCAGTTCTGAATTGGGGGGTGCCCCTTGGCCATGGTGCAGTCCCGTGTAGAAAAAACTATAACCTCTGGACTTTTAAGCAAATAAACTATTTAAAAAAGGAACACGGCTGGCTCTTGCCTGAAAACCTACGCGCAGACAGCTGATGAGACCAAGGAGGTCAGCATTAGAAGCAGAGAGTGGAGACGGCGCTGAGCCAGCAGCTCCCCAGACCGCGCGGGGCAGGGCGTGCATGGCCGAGGACGTGTCCTGAACTGGGGAATGGGAAATATCTGCCTAAATAAGTCTGCAGGAGCTCTTTCAATACATATAAAACAAAAATTCTAGGCAAAAATCAAGAGTCGTGTTACAGTTTAATCCTACACCAAGTAATGGTGCACATAACCGGTGCCTTCCTGAGCTGACAAACTATGAAACCACGCGGACTCAGGGGGTGTCTGCAAGGTTCAAGGCAGGCATGTCAACAGCCGCTCCACACAGGCCCGGTAGGCGTGGGCTCCGTCTCCATTGCGGGCTCACAGAGCTCGGGCCTCGCCCTTCGGTAAAGCACAGACTGAAGCAGGCGGCCTCTGCCAGGTCCGCGGCCCCTAAACTGGGCGTTTCATCCGATCTCATAAAGACAGTTGTAATAAGGGCTATTAGTCTTGGTTTCTCAGAGGAAACCAAGTGCCTTAATCTTTGATTTCCTTTGATTTCACTTCCATAAGGGAAACTGAGCTAAAGAACCAAAAAAAAAAAAAAAAAAAAGCAGCCACAAGGGCAACAAACATTGAAAGGCCCAAATGATCATGGGAGTTCTTCTCTTCTGTCTGTCTCTGTTAGTAGCACTGGGATGCAAGATAATGTCACGGCTAGAGGTCAGTGGCCTTCAAATCTGGGTGTGATCCTGGGGCTCCCAAAGTCTTTCTCAGGGGTGCGAGCACGCGCAGGAACCGATTTCCAGGGACTCGGCGCCCTCGGCCCTCATGGGCTTTCCTGCCCCTCTACTCCATCCTCCATGACCACAGTGGCGCTCGTCCACCCTAAACCTGACCCCAGGTGCACTGCCAGGGCACATAAACAGCCTGGGTGCCAAGTAAGGGGGCAGTGAAAGTAGGGGTGCCGTGAGGGCTTCTCTAATATGGGCACCGCTAAGAGGCACAGTTCTAATAACGTTGTACTTTTCAGATTTAAACATCAAAATTCAACTGTGTAAAAACAGTAATTATAATAGATTATTCAATTGATAAGAAACCTTTTTTTTTATCCTCACCTGAGGACATTTTTCCATTTTTTTTGTTCAGACAGAGTGGGAGGGAGGGAGAGGAAGAGAGAGAGAGAGAGACAGAAACACTGACGTGAAAGGGACACATCGAGTGGCTGCCACCCGCACGACCAACCAGGGCCGGGGACAAACTGCAACCGAGGTACGTGCCCTTAGCGGAAACCGAACCCGGGTCTCTCTGGACCACAGGCCGACGCTCTAACCGCTGAGCCAAACCGGCCAGGGCAGACACTTTTTTTTTTTTAATCCTCACCTGAAGATATTTTTCCACTTATCTTCAGATAGAGTGGGATGGGAAGAGAGAGAGAGAGAAACATCTGACTGGTTGCCTTCTGCACAACCCCGACCAGGGCCAGGGATCGAATCACAGCCAAGGTACGTGCCCTTGACTGGAATCAAACCCGCTGCTCTTTGGTCTTCGGGCCAATACTCTAACCGCTGAGCAACTGGCCAGGGTGATCTTTTTTAAAAAAATCCTCACTTGAGTGTATGTTTATTTATTTATTTAGAGAGAGGAAGGGACAGAGAGGGAGGGAGGGAGAAAGAAACATCAATTGGCTGCCTCTTGTAGGTGCCCCAACCATGGACTGAACCCCCTGCAACCTAGGTATGTTCCCTGACCAGCAATCGGACCCCCAACCCTCTGGTGTATGGAACGATGCTTCAACCAACCAAGCCATGCCAGCCAGGGCAACAAGAAATCATTTTTTTTAAACACTCAGATCCTTATGGTCTCAAGGAAAATAATTTTTTACAAAGCCTTTGATTTTGCCCTGGTCAGCGCTGGTAAGAGTTCAATGAGAAAGACTATATTTGAGCGCCCTCTGGTGGTACTACCAAAATGGGGAAATCGCTGTTAGAGAAATCGGAAAAACTGGAAGTTACTGCCCCTACTGAGACAGGTAGTGAATACCAGCCTCAGCTAGCTGTGATATGACCAAGGTAAGCCCAATATCTGTCTACCAACGAGTCTGCTGGCTCCCTTCTAGCGCTGCACCGTGCCTCCTGGTGACACAGCAGCTCCGCTTGGCGCCAGGGCCAGGGGACAGCCCAAGTGCGCTCTTGCACACGCCCTTGCGCTGGTGTTAAGCTGAGCCAACAATAGCCATGTCTGCTAATTCTAACCCTTCACGAACACATCAGTTTAACAATCCTAGGATGGAGATACCATTTTTTTTTTTTTTAATCCTCACCCGAGGACATTTTTCCATCTTTTTGTACAGATAGAGTGGGAGGGAGAGAGAGGAAGGGAGAGAGAGAGAAACATCGACGTGAAAGGGACACATCGAGTGGCTGCCACCCACACGACCAACCAGGGCCGGGGACAAACTGCAACCGAAGTACATGCCCTTAGCGGGAACCGAACCCGGGTCTCTCTGGACTGCAGGCGGACGCTTTAACCGCTGAGCCAAACTGGCCAGGGCGAGATACCATTTTTTTAAAGGTCATCTTGAGAGGACACTGGGCACCTGGGCCTCAGTGTATGAAAGCCCCAGGGAGAAGCTGCTGGGGGGCACACCACTTGGGGGAGGGGCTCATTCTTTCCTGTCCTCACATACTCCCGAATCCGTTTCCATGTTGATGAAAATAAAAATTAGCCCTCGACCCACTATCCATAATGACAGGCCAACTTCCAGGTTCTCTGGTCACCAAGAGCGTACCTACCATCAGCGTCCTCAAATGTCCAAGGATGAAGAGGCTGTACTTGGCTCGTGTAATGGCGACATTCAATCTCTGCAAACTCGCCAGAAATCTAGGCAAAAAAAAAAGAGTTACTTCTTTTTACAGAGGGACTCAGCGCTGTGTCGGCGTGGGTGGGACAGGCCACGGTGCTCCCTCACTCTTCCTCCCGGCACTGGGCGCCTGGGGCCGGAGCAGGTCCCACTGAGCCAGCAAACAAACATCCAGCGCTTCCCTTTCCTTCAGAGGGATGCGTCTGTCCGTCAGTTTCCTATTTTGACTTGAATGAGATACTGGAAATTTTAACAGTATGATTTCTAAGTCTTAAAGATATCCTACAAATATGACATTAGATTGATTATTTTGAAATGTAAATGTATCTGGGATTACTAAAATATTGTGGAACTAATGCAGAAATATACCCAAATCAGACAAACTTAACAGAAACAGCAAAACTGCTTACAGATGAAGCAGAAATTTCAGATGAGCTGGAAAACAATCAGCTCTGTTTACAGAACGGTCCTGAGATAACTGGTCTCCATGTGCACATGCAGACTCTGGAGGAAGGGGAACTTCAATGACCGTTTTCTTCAGGAACAACTGAACATGTTTACAGTCTGTGAACTTCATCTGCTGCTCAGGAGAAGAGAATCTCAGCCCCCAGACGGAGCACGGTCGCCCTCTGCACACCCACGGCAGGCCTCGGCATCCTGCGCGCACTGAGCAGTGCAGACCAACAGACTCCGCCAACGTGGACGCACAGCGGGAAGAGGGAAAACCACACACGGCACATCCCAGTGGAGAGCAGCAGGCCCGAAACACACCAGACCCAGTGACTGACTTCACTCTTACTCACACTGTGTCACGGGTTCGCATACAAGGTATCAAGAGAGGCAGCCCCACACTGGATCAGCCTCACAACTTAAAGCTCAATAGTGACAGCGACTCACCCGATCGAGCCTTGCAGGGCGTTTGCTCTGACACACGTGACGATAATACAGTCTTTCTGACGACCCTGGAAGGCATCCACAGTGTCGACTTCTGCGGGCCTAGTTACAAAAGAGGAGAGTTTACTAGAAAATGTAAGATGGTTATTAAGCACACACAGTCACAGAGTAGCATTCATTTCTCAGAAATGTCTTCATGGTATCTGCACTCATGCAGTGTGACTCACACAGCACAGAGCCCCCCGGAAGTGCAGTGGTTTGTAAGCACGTTCACTGCCGTGCAACCATCTAATCTCACACCTCCGTCGCCCAAGAGAAACCCCACAGGCCCCGGCAACCTTGAATCCACTGTCTGTCTCTGCAGATGCTCCGTCCTGGACATTCCTATCAGTGGAACCACAGAGCATGTGGCCTGCGTGTCTGGCTTCTCTGACTGTGTGTCCGCGGCTCAGCTGTGCTGCGGTGTGCCAGTGCCTCCTCTCTGCTACGACTGCACGTTTGGTTGTTCAGCTGCACCAAACCCACCCCTCCATCATACAAAGCCTGGTCCTGTTCTTTGTTGGAAAGTGTTTGATTACTAACTCCATCTCTTTACTTTTTATAGGTCTGTTCAATATTTCATTTTTTTCTAGAGTCAATTTTGGTCATTTGTGTGTTTCTAGCTCAAGAAACTTTTGAGTTAATGGGTTTTCAATATTACACCTTTAATTTTACAGTTAAGGTAAAAAGACGACAAAAACATGATCTTGTCCCTACACATAAAAACACGAAAAGGTTTAAATCATTCCTTCTACATGGCGATGTGACTTTCCGCATCCCTCCAGGAAGAGAATTCGGATGGACAAGTCAAGGAGCTAGGGGAAGGCCTGGGCTGCTCCTGGGTCTGCTCCGCCGCTAGGTCTCCGGGGGGCGACCAGTGTCCCACGGCAGGAGCTCTGCCCACCGGCTGCAAGTGAGCCCCTCCTCCACCCAGCGCCCTGTGCTAGACTAACGACCATGGTCACTAACGATCACTCCCCAGTGCTTCCTTTCCTTCTAGCCCCTCTTTCTTCTCTGTAATTCAACAGAAAAACTAGAAATGGCTATAAAAATATAGATGCCTCACCCTTTTCCTTCAAATTCTTTGTCCAACTCCTTCTGAATCATCATTTTCTGAGCCTTGTAATGGGTTATTATGCCAATGTTTCGGAAAGTAATGTCCCTTCTTTTGTCTTTAAGAAGTTTAATCAATTCCATTACCACTTTTATTTCTTGAATATTCACATATGAGCTAAATCGGATGGAAAAAAGAACACGTCAGAACGAACAGCAGGCCGACTGCCAACCAGCTCTGCCACCCGGTCAGCAGTGACTTGGAGGTACTATCCCAGCCCTCATGTATGTGTGAACAGATGCAAACATCATTGCCTGGTGAAACAAAGCTGCGAGAGAGACAAGAGTTCAAAGCTAACTGAGGCTTAGGCACCCATTTTTTTTTTTTTTTTAAATCCTCACCCGAGGACATTTTTCCATTTTTTATACCGATAGAGTGGGAGGGAGAGAGAGGAAGAGACAGAGAGAGAGAAACATCGATGTGAAGGGGACACATCGAGTGGCTGCCACTGCACGACCAACCAGGGCCAGGGACAAACTGCAACCGAAGTACGTGCCCTTGGCGGGAACCGAACCCGTGTCTCTCTGGACCGCAGGCCGATGCTCTAACCGCTGAGCCAAACCAGCCAGGGCTAGGCACCCATTTCTTAAGCACCTATTGAGACAGGAAGAGCGGTAGTAAGAACAGAAGGATACGAGCAATAATGGGCTAATAGTAAAGATGTGCGATCTTCCACACACTGAGAAAAGCGCTTTAGCTGGGTCGCCTTTTTCAATGCCCCCCACTGGCTGTGGGAGGCCACGTGCATACGAGCTCCAGTGACTCGGCCCTGGAGGTGAACAACTTGGGGTCCTCAGTGGCCCAGTCCTCACCGCCCTCGCTGGCCTCACCCTGCACTCCCAACTCACCTCCCAAACAGCACGCGTCCCCTCGGTCCCAGCCAGAGGCGCCATGCAGGGCCTGGGGGCAGAGCACTTGCACCTTTATTCCTGCCCATCTGCCTCCCTGTAAGAGCCCTGAATACCCACCACCCAAACTCCAAGACTTACTGCTCGGTCAACCCAGTTAGCTAGTTTTTTCCTCCATCCTTGAAACCTTGGTTCTGCTTGGTCATCTCAGGTCAACATCCCCTTGTGACCTGTCAAACCCAAAATGCTTATAGGGCTCCGCCCTCAGTCCTCTGCTCCACCCACAAGCCCTCTGGCACTGCAAGGCTGGCCGCCTGTGGCTCTGGATCTCCAGCTCCTCCACCTCTACTGACTCACACCTGAGCCTCACTGAGGACAGGGCCTGCTCGGCAGCTCTCAGGACACAGGTGACTTTGCACATCCTCTGACTTCATCACGACAGGTGGTGTGTGCACCTGTGCTAACAGAGCAGCCCCCCCCCCCCCCCGACCCCCTTGGTCTCTTATAAGCAGCTCTGGTCCTCATTAGCAACCACCAATCCTTTGTGTTGTTACTCATAAACCACTTAACAATCCAATACAGGTAAAGTAATGCCCACCCTCTGTCTCACACCCTAAGTCAGCTGAATCTATACTGACCTTTCACAACACTTACCCCAATTGGTGTAATTAATGACCTTGGCGACTACCTGGTTGATGTCTGTCTTTCCTATTAGACCACAATAAACTCGCTCAGAGCTATGACCTCGGCAGAGATCTACTCAAGTGCCTACCACATGTTAGGTACTACAATCTCCATTATACACTTAAGAATTAAAAGGCTGAAATATAGCCCAGCTGGTATGGCTCAGGGGTTGAGCATTGACCCATGCACCAAGAGGTCGCCTGTTTGATTCCCGGCCAGAGCACATGCCCAGGTTGTGGGCCTGATCCCCAGTGAGGGGCATGCAGGAGGCGGCCAATCGATATTCTCTCTCATCGATGTTTCTATCTCTCTCTAAAATCAATTAAAAAAAAAAATTAAAAAAAAAAAAAGGCTCAAATATATAAAGATGTTAATAATTTATTTTTTAAAAGGAGAGGCTATCAACAACCTGGTTAAATAAAAATGATTGTACTCTGACAATAGACACAGAGATGTGTATATGGACAGTATTCTGAATATAAATATGAACAAATACACTATAACAATTCTGGGCCCGCCCCTGGGGAGTGGAGAAAGAGAAGAACGTACTCATTATCCCGTCTTTCTGAGCCGTCCCCGACATCAAACACGAGGTAGGGCTGAAAGGGCCAGTCTGATGAACACCGATAGGTCTCAGTCACTCTACAAAAAAGCGATCACCGTTCAGAACACAAGTCAAGTTATATGAAAAAAATTTAAGTTATTATTACCATTTTCCTTGTAGAGGAGGAAACTAGGGAAAATAAGAGCACAAGAAGGGCCTTCTTTTATTGCAATGTGCTTTAGTGAAAGGTATAAAACAAGTTTTAGTTCTATTCTAGTGCCAGGGAGAATGAGCTATGTAATTAAAACATAACAATTACAACTGGAAAATAACTCATCATACAGGATGTAGAGAAAAGAGCAAGCCATTCGATGCTATATAGAGTATGGCATGGTTTTCTTTCAGTTAAAAAAAAAATAAAGATACACACAGTACAAGGACTAGAAGAAGATGTACCAAAATGTTACCAGTAACTATTTCTGGGTAGTATAAATATCGGTGGGGTTCCCCTTCTTTTTTGCTTATCTACATTTTTTACAATAAACATGACTTTTATAATTAGAGAAAAGTATTAAATCTTTGCTTTATGCTTTTCATGACAAGAGTTAAAACTAGCTACCAAGTGATGAGTGGAGCCCACCTGTCAGTTTTCAGGTTCCTGTTGTAAATATAATTGGAAGGGAAGAGACAGATGTCGGGGTGCATTCTGTACTGGACGGTCAGCTGCAGGATGGGCAGTCTGCCGCTCACGTGGTGCTCCACGTTCTCCTCCAGCAGTTTGCAGAAGCGGGCCATCAGCGACTGCTCGTAGCCATACTCCTGGGCCTTCTGGGAGGGGGAGGATGAAGCAGTAACCTCTGAGGATCGCCTGTCCTCGTCCCCGTTATAGAAACAAGCACTGAGCTCCACTATGCACACGGCAAGGTTCAGGGGACATTACCAACAATCAGAGTCAGAGAAAGAGGTTTCTGACCCTGGCCCCTGAAAAGCCATGTGGCTTGATCATTCAGGTTGAGGTATTTTCTCCTCATTCAGAAAACCCACACACTGCTCTGAAACCGATATGATCTTGTGAATGACCACAACTGAAGCTATTTTGATGCTAACAGAGGTCACCTGACTCAATGATGAAAGAAGAAAAAAAAAGTAACAGATTTTAACCACTCTTTCTGGGTTATGCTCTCAACAAACAGAAATATTCAGTGCCACTGTAAGCCCATTTTAAGACCAACTTCGCCTGGCCGGTGTGGCTCAGTGGTTGAGCATCAACCCACGCACCAAGAGGTCGCTGGTTCGATTCCCGGTCAGGGCACATGCCCAGGTTGTGGGCCAAATCCCCAGTGGGGGCATGCAGGAGGTGGCCAGTCCATGTTCTCTCTCATCGATGTTTCTATCTCTCTCTTCCTCTCCGTTCCTCTCTCTCTAAAACCAATAAAGAAAAAGTAAAAATAAAAAGCACAGCTCCGCCCACCCTGCCAACACGCACTCAGCAGTCTCGGCAGCCCAGACAGAGCCTCCCAGAACTGTGCTCTGCGGAGAGCACACAGCCGACGCACTAAGCTCATCTCACACCCCCAGCGATGGGCTGCAGCGTGCAACCTGCGGACAGCCTCGCCTGACAGACGGAGAAAGCTGTTATCCTGGAAGAACCTTGGATGTACTTTTCAATGTCAGCATCACACTAAGATTTAAAAAGTATTTTATCAAAGAATCTAGAAGTAGCAATGTGCTCTGGGAAACACATGGAGCCAGGAGGTCTTCGCGACAGCGGGGAGATGTGGAGCCGACGCTGATGTGCGGAGTCTAAACACACCCGCTTCGCACTGTGAGAGCGGAGGGAAGAGGCAGTGCTTCTAAATAACAGATTATTTCTATATGTGAATTTAAATAGGTTGGCACAACTGAATAAAATAAATATTAGTAGACATTTGACAATTTTCATTTATATTCCCCAAAGCTCATTTATTCAAATTAGCCAAAACCTCATTTTGAACCTTCTCTCTGGGGAAAGAAAAAAAAGGACCTACAGGAGATAACACCTACTTCCAGAAAACAGCTGGGCCGCCCTACACGATGACATGGGTTTGCATGTCCTGACACAGAAGCTACTCCTCATCTAGCTACTGACGCAAGAGAAACCAACTTGGCACAGAATGATTCTGCCACCTTTGAAGAAGGCCTACCACCTATATCCACACATACACCAAACTGACAACCACCGGACACACTGACTCGTCACTTGTGCGCCGGTTCCCACTAGAACAGACGCTCCACGAGGGCAGGATTTCAGTCTGTGTCCCTCACTGTCATAACACAGCAGGACCTGAACTAGGCTGGCTCTCAGTAAGTATAGACTGAAAAGGGTGAATCAATGAACATACAAATGCCCAGCCAATCTGTTAAAATACTCTAAACTCTTCAGTTATTACCCCTAGAAAGAGGTTGAGGAAATTAACTTTGTAATTATTTTTTGAACATTCCTCAATAAGCCTGTATTATTTCTGCAATTTAAGAAAGCAGAAATGGACTTTTCTCCCTTTATTTATTTTTTAATCCTCACCCGAGGACATTTTTGCATTTATCTTCAGATAGAGCGGGAGGGAGAGAGGGAGGAAGAGAGAGAGAAACATCGATGTGAGAGAGACACATCAACCACCTGCCACCCACACGACCCCAGTCACCGGGGCCGGGGACAAACTGCAACCGAGGTACATGCCCTTAGCGGGAACTGAACCCGGGTCTCTCTGGACCGCAGGCCGACGCTCTAACTGCTGAGCCCAACTGGCCAGGGCACTTTTGCTATTTTCAATCAATCATGAAAGCAGGCACTCAAGCTGAGGCTCATCAACACCCCTTTTCATTCCCTGCCACAGCCCTTCAACAAGTTGAATCCGTACAGCCTTGAAATATGTATATGATTTAAATTTCAAAACCATGGTCTGGCCCCATTCTGATGGCCCCAAACATCTGCTGAACACCGCCTGGGTGCACTTCTGGGGGCCAGCCTCGCTGAGATGAGCAGCAGAGCGGCGGGTCATGACGCAGGCACCGTCTCCCACCAGCAGGGCTCGCGGTCCCCTTCCGGTCACCTTCCCTCCCCGAGGGTGTGACGGCCACAGGATGCAGAGTTCTAAAACTGGAAATTTCTCTTTATACTGTTTTCCTCAAAGTAGCACCTATTTAAATATAAATCAGTAGGTTGGGATTCTTTTCTTGCTTTTAAAGTTTTTCTTCCATTACTGTTTTGGTGTTTATGTAATTAAAATAAGTCAGAGGCGACCCTTAGAACAGCGGCATCCCGCCTGTCCCAAAGGAAAGCCCCGCACACGTGGAGCAGGGTCTTTTTAGTCTCCTGGTCTCTGACACGGCTCCCGTCACACACACAATTACCAACAAAGGAACATTTTCAGAGACTGAGAAAAATGGTGGTCCTTTTTTCCCAGCCTTCCCAATACTTTTCCCTGCAAATAAGAGGTGATGATCCAACAAAGAACGCCCCACCGCCAAAATTCCAAAGAAGCCCCTTCTACTTGAACTGGATGGGAATACAAGGAACTCACCAAGGAGATGACTGTGGGGGGCAGCTGCTTCGGGTCCCCCACGAGGATTAGCTTGTTACAGCGGTGGATGAGTGGGGTGAGGGTCTCCACTTCACAAGCCTGCCCAGCCTGAGTAACACAGTACAGAATGGAGAAATCATCTTAATCATCTTTGCTTTTTATTTCTCCGTGTGCGGGTCACCAAACTCACACAAGCTCTCACCATTCAGAAAAGAGCCATACTTTCTCCTTCTGCACCAAACATCAAAAACAAGGATTTCTTTAGAGAAACAAACAAACAATAAAACAAAAACACTCAAAAAAATTCACACATGTATTTAGAAGCCAGCCAGCAGCTGGAGGGCACGCCTGTCCCACCCCATCCCGCGCCCTCCTGTTCCTCAGCGGGCGCTCCCTCCACTGGAGGCCGTTTTATCGTGCCCACCTCACACGTTCTCACTAGGGACTACGGGACCTCGGCCTCCTGCACTGGCTCTCTGCACCTCATTGCCCACCCCTGCTATCTTCTGGCTCTGCATCTGGCACACAGTAGGCACCTAATAAATATCTGCTCAGTGGAACAACTAGGAAAATACTGCATCTCAGAGCTGTCCAAAGTTACATTAAAAATGCTTCGAAAGGTAAACTGAGCTATTCCAAGCAGAAGCTTAGACAGTCCTGGGGAGGGCTGAGAGGAGCCATCAGGCACCCTTACAAGGGAACCTCACCACTGGAAGAGCAGCTTGGACCTGGGTTTTGGGGGTACGGGGTCAGCAGCAGCATATTTCAGCACGAAGGGACACACATGTAATGGCAGTAAAGTCAGATGCCAAGACCACTGTGTCAACATCTGGCTCCTACAGCACTAGTCAAAGCTGAATGGCCGCCTGCTCACCAACCTCATCAACAATGACACAGCTGAAGGGTACACCTCCTTGGCCCCGGAACGCAGACTCGAGCAGTAAGCCGCCGCTCGTGCTCAGGGTGCAGCAGATGATGTGGGACTCGAGGATGATGATGCTCTGGGTTTTCTGCGGGCGTCCTTGAACCTGAGACAACAAACACAGGATCATTACTATTCAGCGGTAAGTTCTAGATTACAGTAGGCCTACTTTTGCTATAAAACACCCACCTTCATTATGTGACAGAATATTTGGTAAATAGAAAGGGAGAACCTCAAATCTAGAAAAACAGCAGAAACATTCTAGAGAATCAGAAACCACCAGAAAGAATATGCTTTGAGTTCAGACTAAGCTTAGATAGACTCAGATTTAGGTACCAAAGAAAAACGTATCCCAGGTTTGATCTGGGCTAAGTCGATTACAATGCTTATACAAGCCAATGTACACGGGCAGGTATCCAAGTAAGCAGAGATGAAATAATTCTGAGTTGTAGGGCAATTATCTGAATAAAAACAAGGTCAAAAATAAACCTGAATGTATGTTTTTTGTTCATTTTAAAGTATATAACGTTATTCTTCCTTCTATAAAGGCTAGAACCAACAAAAATAACTGTTTCTCCTTCCAGTTAGAAAACAACCTTGGTCTACTTCTCTAGTGCAGTCTACAGCTCACCCTTGAACTACATGGGTGTTCGGGGAGCTGAGTGTAACTGAAGTCTGTTCTCCGCGAACTCACACCCTCGGATGGAAAACGTCACTGTGCTGCGGTGGCCCGGACAGCGTGAGCGACACCTCTCACTGCACACCACTTGGGCTGGGGCACAGACTGGCATTCTCCGCAGTCAGCCCGCGCCCGCGCCCGCGCCCGAGAGGCAGGGCCGACGCTGCCCTGCACAGGGCCGTCAGCATGGACTTCGAAGCGCATGTGAGCTCTGGGCGGAGGCTGGCGACTGGCCCACCAGGGCCCACCCGCTGCAGCGCCGTCGCCCGGCTCCTCTCAGCCGCGAGCACGCAGACAGCCAAAGGCCGCAGCACACGCGACGAGTAGCAGAAACACGCTACCTGCACACATGAACTTCAGCCTTCAATTTGGGAAGACTGAGTTTGGGCTCAGTTTAAAATTTTAATGAAGTTTCCACCGAATTTTTAATTTGAATAAACAAATTGCTAATGGAAATATGCATTACATTCAACTGTATTTATTTAGTCACATAAAGAAGGCTGGCAATACATTCAGGAGAAAAATCTCCTCAAAAATACTGACAATATATCACTGTTTGCTATTCTACCCTCTCCTGACTCCCAATTGAAACAGTGTGTCATCCGAAGAAATGCAATATGGAGTTGCCACTGTCACTGTGCTCGGATCCAGACATGTGATTCCTTTTCTTAATAGGGAAACACCCACCAACTTGTTTTTATTAACTACTCATCTGGCTATAATTTCATAATGGATCTTGCAGTGGGGGGGGGGGGGGGGCTGACATGAAGCTTAGTATCTACCCAGACCGAGAAAAGAAAAAGATACTCCATAATCACTTCCTTCTTAGATCTCTCAAGTAGTGATAAGAATTCATTATGAGGCTAAAGAAACAAATGTAAATATACATGTCATTACACCATCTCCACTTTCATATTTGTTTGAAATTTGTCTTAATAAAAAAAAAAATTTTTAATGTAATTGACAAAAGCTCAGAGGTTTTCTGAATATGTCATAATTAAAAGAAGAAAAACCAGGAAAATGCTATAAGTAAACAACTTACCTCTTTAATTTTAGAAGCAAGTTCCTGCCTTTCTTTTGAAACTTGGGCAATTTTTTGATCTAATTCTTGCCTCTGGAAAAAATTAGAATGCCATCACTAAAATCAAATAAGCATTTTATTTATTTACTTATTTATTTAATCCTCACCCGAGGACATTTTTGCATTTATCTTCAGATAGAGCAGGAGGAAGAAAGGGAGGAAGAAACACAGAGAAACATCGATGTGAGAGAGACACATTGAGTGGCTGCCACCCACACGACCCCAACGGGGCCGGGGACAAACTACAACCGAGGTACGTGCCCCTAGCGGGAACTGAACCCAGGACTCTCCAGTCCACAGGCCGACGCTCTAACCGCTGAGCCAAACCAGCCAGGGCTAAATAAGCATTTCAAAACGCTTTCCAATGGACTGCTTCACTTCAAAAGGGTGAGCCTACACTTGACAATGGCAAACTCATCCATCCAGGTTTTCTCTTTGCCAGCAAAGTCCTGACGCTCTCTGATGCTCACCTCCAGGGACACCAGCCCTCACAGGAGCCACGCCCCAGGCAGCAGCCCAGCCACAGCAAATGTAAGCTCCTGACAGGATTTCTCCAACAACCTTCGAGATCAAGTCTCCCCTGCCCCCCAGGGCCTGTCTGCCTTATGCAACCCTTAGATAAGACCCCGTGGGGCTGACCAAAACTCCACTTTTTGGTTTGAACTGACCAATGCAGCCTTAGCCCGGGAACCCCAAAGCACTCCACCCAGAGGCCCTATTAAAGGGATGTGCGCCAGGTCCTGCCCCTGGCTGCACTCTGCACTGTGCCCTCGAGGCGGGCTGTGTACTTCCTCCAGGACCCGTGAGTAATAATGTCTCTATTGCAATTTCTCTCAGGTCTCTTGCTGAACCTTGTTCACTTTCCAGCACCCTGTGCTCCACTGAGCAGCAAGTGTTGGTCTGATTAATTCTTCACGCTATGAAAGATCCCCCTTAGGTCCAGCAATATGGCACGTATGCTATTTCTGAGCATCCAAACCCCTGGGTCAACATGCCTTCCGTTTCTAGATGGTTTCAATGAGGCTATCAATCACACCTCAATCATCTCTGTCACAGTGACAGGCATGTAATGCAAGCCCGGCCAATCCTGGCATCCATTCTATTAAAAACAGGAATTAGACCTGCCTGCACACCCAGGGACTAATCCAAGTTCTTCCTTGGAATTGATGCATGGATCATGGCAGGGAGGCCTTCTCTACCTGTGGGTTTTCTAAGCTGGGGTGGTGGACCCTAGAAGTGCTGGGCTCGTCTTTTCCGGGAGAAGAAAAGGCTAACTCACAGACAAGCTAATTAAGGGCACAGAAATGACATCATTTGCTACAGTTAATCCACTCCTACTTTCCCAGGTCTAGGCAGGTGTCAGTAAATTCCACTTCTGTCTAACTTAACTTTTAAAAAATTGTTCTTGATTGATTTGAGAAAGAGGGAGGGAGGGAGGGAGGGAGGGAGGGAGAAATGTAGACTTCTTGTTCCACCCATCCATGCATTCCATGGTTGATTTCTTGTGTGTGCTCTAACAGGGGATCAAACCCACAACCTTGACACATGAGGATGATGCTCTAACCAACTAAGCTACCTGACCAGGGCTTGTCTAACTTAACTTGAATTGAGTTTCTTTAACTTGTAATTGAAAGATACCTAATGAATTCAGTGCAGCTTTAATATAAGGCAGGCAACAGCAAACTACAGCAGGTGGAACAAATTCAACTCGCCATCTGTTTTGTAAATAAAGTTTTATTGGCACAGAGCCACACCCCTTTGTTTATGTACATCTCCTGTGCTACACAGCAGAGCTTAGTCAAAACAGAGTCCTGCAAAGTCTAAACCATTAACTATCTTGTGCTTTTCATACCACTTTTGTACACATTTTTTAATCAACAAATCATGTTATTCCACAGTGAAAAATGGTATCAAATCCTCACCAACTAGCTCGTGCACCTATGATTTACTAGAAACCATTAGTCAAGAAATGTTTAGATACCTGTATTTCCCGCCCACCTCGGCATAAAGCACGCTGGCGGGAAAGTTCATCTAGTTGGTGGTCTAGACATTCCTTTCTTCTATGCATCTCCTGAACATAAGAAGGTAAGTCTTTTTCTAAAAAAAAAAAAGATAAAGAGTTATATGCCGATTCTAACATATCTACATATGCATAACAACAAGATGAAAACCTATTCTCAAAGCCAGGCCATCTCTCGGGTCTCCACATTACATTAAATGCCTAAGCCACTGTCCACTGCACAAAAGGAACAGAGCTGACATTAGCATGAAACTTTTTCAGTACTTACTCATTCTGTGGTTAACTTGGCTGTCCAAACTGAATTTTAGGACCTCACTATTGATAGACTTTTCTGGACCCAGACGTACTAAATTGATATCTCCACAGTTTCCTGTTGATAAAAATCACACTTAAGAGATTAATGAGGACATTGTGAACCTCTGTCCATTATAATATGTATTTCTAAGCAAATGTATTAACAATCAGAAGGGAGCGAACATGAACTATCAGTTAACTGGATACCTGGAACTCCACTAGAGACTTCATGCACATTCTTTCACAGATTCTTCGTAACAACCCTATAAAGTAGGTACTTACCATTTCTACGTAATAGTAGCTATCAAGGTCATATACAAACAGTACAATGCAGAGTTGAGATTCTATTCTACTAATCAATATTTTTAGAACTTTCCATGATAAAACAGATTTCAGAAATGGCGAATTAAGATAAAACAGATTTCTTAACCACAGGATGTTTAAAAAACATATAAAGACTTTTATATGAGACTACATATTGCATTTCTAAACAGTCTTATTTGACCAGCAATCCTTTTCTACAGAGTACTCAGGACAAAGCTTCTGAACCCTGCCCCACTCACATTCTACTCCACCAGGAACAGCCGGGGGTGCCCCGCAGATGATGACAAACACCCTTTAAATTACATAAGTGAGCTCATAAGAAGGTAGGACAAATTCTAGGGTCAGAAACAAAGAGAAGCTGGAAACCAGAGCGGAATGTCCTGAGCTGCTGCGGCTTCCCGGAGGGGGAGGGGCGAGGGCTACGCACTATCTCGGTGACTCGGCATTTTTAAGTTAACATTCAATTAAATGCAGAGCTTTAAAAATCTTTAGTTCGATAGAGTCTGACAAATGTCTATACTGGCTAACTACCGTTCCAATCAAGATACAGAAATCTTACAGCTCAGGCTTGGAATTAAGGCCCACTACAGAGCAAACGGGCCTAAGAGAGGTGGCAGGATGCAGAAGTGAACATGTCTGTCCTGGCTCAGCTGGGGAAAAATTCTCTCCTGGGACTTTCCAATCAGGCCCATGCCACGTGGGAATATGCAAACTAAACACATCATATAGAGATTGACCAAGGTGACCCTCAGAAATACAGTTGAGATTTTAAAAATGAGAATACAAAATACAATTTTATACCAACATATTTAAAAACCTAAGATAATGAGCAAGACTCACTCAAATCTAGAAAATCTGATTAGACCTGTTACAGTTAAAAGCATTTCGACAGTAGATAAAAACGTTATCCTTCTGTCAAAAACAGACAAAAAACAAATAACACTAAGAATGAATTAACCTTCAAGAAAGAGATAATCTGTTTTATATAAAACATTGCAAAGAGTAAACAAAAAAAATTCCCCCAACTCCATTTTTTTTACTCCTCACCCGAGGATACTTTTCTCTTTATCATCAGATAGAGTGGGAGGGAGAAAGAGAGAGAGAAAAAGAGAAACATCGATGTGATAGACCCACATTGACTGGTTGCTTCCCGCACGACCCCAGCAGGGCCGGGGATGAACTACAACTGAGGTACATGCTCTTGACCAGAATCAAACCCGTGGCTCTTTGGTCCTCGGGCCGAGCCGACGTGCTAACTGCTCAGCCAAACCGGCCAGGGCCCAACTACATTTTTAAAGTTTGTGTAACTTCAATACTAAAACTAGAAAAGAAAGACGAAGAAAAACTACAGGCTGGCCTCATTTATGAATAGTAATTTTTAAAATCCTAAATAAAACATTAGCAATCCAGACATGTTAAAAAATAGTAATACACAACCAATTTGGCTTTATTCTAGGAATCAAAGCTCTTTTATCATTAGAAAAACATTGTAATTTACTACATGAACAGATTAAAGAAGAAAAACTTCACTACCATTTCAATGAATGCAACAACAAAACACCCCAAAAATGCAATCAAATTCAACATCCATTCCTGGTAAAAACTCTAGTGAGAAGAGAACCTGCCCTGATGAAGGGCATGTATACACAATGAACCCCAGAAACAAGATCACACTAACTGGCAAGGCCGTTTCCTTACAGGACACCAGGACCACGGGAAAAGTAAAAAGGAGTGGGAATGAAACACTGAGAAAGAAGAAAAAGGTCTTCTGACTGACAGAAGCTATGTTCTCAAAGAATGAAAACTCCGTGCCAACGCCTGGCTTGCAGGGCTGCCGCCACCCTGCCGCGTGGTCGGTGCACACTGGACCGCTCTCCCCACCTGGCCTGGGAGGTCAGTGAGAACCGCACACTGCTGCCCACCCTGCCGCGTGGTCGGTGCACACTGGACTGCACTCCCCACCTGGCCTGGGAGGTCAGTGAGAACCGCACACTGCTGCCCACCCTGCTGCGTGGTCGGTGCACACTGGACCGCTCTCCCCACCTGGCCTGGGAGGTCAGTGAGAACCGCACACTGCTGCCCACCCTGCTGCGTGGTCGGTGCACACTGGACCGCTCTCCCCACCTGGCCTGGGAGGTCAGTGAGAACCGCACACTGCTGCCCACCCTGCTGCGTGGTCGGTGCACACTGGACCGCACTCCCCACCTGGCCTGGGAGGTCAGTGAGAACCGCACACTGCTGCCCACCCTGCTGCGTGGTCGGTGCACACTGGACTGCACTCCCCACCTGGCCTGGGAGGTCAGTGAGAACCGCACACTGCTGCCCACCCTGCTGCGTGGTCGGTGCACACTGGACCGCTCTCCCCACCTGGCCTGGGAGGTCAGTGAGAACCGCACACTGCTGCCCACCCTGCCGCGTGGTCGGTGCACACTGGACTGCACTCCCCACCTGGCCTGGGAGGTCAGTGAGAACCGCACACTGCTGCCCACCCTGCTGCGTGGTCGGTGCACACTGGACCGCTCTCCCCACCTGGCCTGGGAGGTCAGTGAGAACCGCACACTGCTGCCCACCCTGCTGCGTGGTCGGTGCACACTGGACCGCTCTCCCCACCTGGCCTGGGAGGTCAGTGAGAACCGCACACTGCTGCCCACCCTGCTGCGTGGTCGGTGCACACTGGACCGCACTCCCCACCTGGCCTGGGAGGTCAGTGAGAACCGCACACTGCTGCCCACCCTGCTGCGTGGTCGGTGCACACTGGACTGCACTCCCCACCTGGCCTGGGAGGTCAGTGAGAACCGCACACTGCTGCCCACCCTGCTGCGTGGTCGGTGCACACTGGACCGCACTCCCCACCTGGCCTGGGAGGTCAGTGAGAACCGCACACTGCTGCCCACCCTGCTGCGTGGTCGGTGCACACTGGACCGCTCTCCCCACCTGGCCTGGGAGGTCAGTGAGAACCGCACACTGCCTGGGCCAGGTACTCTGGTACAACCGCTTTCAAGAAGAATTTAACACTTTCTAGAAAACTGAATACGCACACATCCTTTAACCCTCGATTTCACCTCTACGTACACATGCAGTAGACCAGTGACCATGACCTGCAGTACAAAGTATACCTCACCCATCAGCAATGAAAGAAGTTTCACAAGACAACTTACCCTACTACCTGTACTCTGATCTTTTCTGCCCGACTTTACCTTGATGAGTATGTGGTCCTGGTCTGCCTAAACTGATTTTACAAGCACTAACGTTCACAAGGCAGCTTTAAAAGCATGGCCCTAGAAAGCTGTACGGAAGCGGAGGAGACAGCCTGCGGACCGAGCTCGGTTCCTCCAGTGCGCCCTCCAGCTGGCATCCGGCAGCGCAACCTCCTTCCTGGCTGCAGCAGCCCTTCCACCCTGCTGGAGAAGCACACACACGGGTAGGAACGCTCACTGCAATCAACGCTGAAGTAGCAGAGCGGAAGAGAGCCTCAATGTCTACCCAGACACCCTACGATGAGATACCCCGGAGCAGCTGAGAGCAATGCCTGTGCCAAGAGACAGTGCTAAGCTCACACACCTCATGACACACTGTGGCTGGGAGAGTGGCAGACTAACTGTCCTGTGAGTCTGACAAGCCAGTGAGTTCTATTTGTAGGTGATACACATGTGGTAAAACAAAAAACGTGTGTTGTCCCTCGGAATAAGGATGGTGGGTCCCAGCTGCTCCCGTAGCTGGGCGGAGCCATGAGTAGGTTCTCGCTGGAAGGAAGGAAGCAGAGGTGTTGCTGGCAGTGTTCAGAACTTTCCTGAAAACAAGGCCAGGATATTCCTTTTGTCCCTTCTTTGTCTTTCCCCCGGGACACTTGCTGCTGGATGTGACTGCTGGAGGTGGAGCAGCCATCCGTGACCAGGAGGGCACCAAGGAGAGGCCACACACAATGGAGCAGCAGGACAGAGGGAGCCCAGAGCTGAGACTCAGCCCAGTACCAGTCCTGAGCTGCCGATCGCTGGCCTTCTGAGAAACTTCTATCCTACCTCAGCCACTGTATTCGGAGCCGCTCTTATTTGCAGTCAAATCTAATCCTAACTGATGAAAGGTACTGTCAGGTAACTTAAGAAAAACAAAATTTGGCCCTGGCCAGTTTGGCTCAGCAGTTAGAGGGCAGTTACGTGGGTTGTGAGTTCAGTCCCCAGCACAGGTGGGGGGCAAGCAGGAGACAAGCAATTGATGTGTCTCTCTCACATCGATGTTTCTCTCTCTCTCTTCCTCCCTTCCTTCCACTCAATCTAAAAATCAATGGGAAAATATCCTCAGGTGAAGATTTAAAAGAAAAACAAAATTTGGTCAGGAAAGACAAGACTATGAGCTGGAGAAAACAGTCTGACCCTAAGCACGCCACACGAGATGTGTGCTGTGACAGCGAGCCAGGCAGACAGGAGCTATGTCCTCCGTCACCTGCCACCTCTTCACCAATGTCAACTGTGCTGGGGCAGTCTACATCCTGCTCTTCAGTCTCTCCTCCCCCGACAGGAAGGTGGGGGCGCCGTGATACCAGCTCCCAGGGGCACTCTGAGAATCACTGGCAGCGAACACTGCTCCAGCCCTCCGGTCGCTCCAGACCACGAAGCCCCAGACACTGTCCGGGCACGGGGGACGCACGGCACAGCCATCACTAACCCTCGCCTTCAGGAGCACACTCCGTTCCAGCTGTGCTGCAGGGCTGGGGTCTCTGGCCTCTGGCCTCTCTAACGACAGAAGCTTCTGCTGGCACCCCCTCCCCACACACCTCCCCTGGCTAACTCCTAAGGGCTATTCAGGTTTTGTCACCTCAGACATCACTTCCTCTACATGCCTTCCCTAACCCCAAATGACTGAGTCAGGGGCCACTCGAAGGTGCCAGGAAGTGCCCACATTTCACTCCTACCAGAGAGCTTACAGCTTGTCCTCTTACTGCCCACGCCTCCACCCACTTCCTCATGAGACTCCTGGAGAGGGTTCACTGCTGAAACCACAGAACTCGGCACAGTGCCTGGCACAGACCAACAATGCCCAGTCACACTTGCTAAAGGAATCCCTAAGGACATAGGGCCACAGCCCATGGACAAGTTATCATCAGAACTGGCTTGTTCTTTGTCATTCAAAGCTGCCCACACTAAACACTGAAAACAAAACAAAAACAAATGAACAGCCCACGATAAGTATCATACCCAGAGGATTCCTCTTGTCTTTACACCTCTCTTTGAACTCCAGGATAATCTTTTTCATCAGCTCATCCACAGCCGCGTTGGAAGGCGCGCACACGAGCACGCGGTTCTGCTTGATCTTGGCGTTGGAGTTCTCATCCAGGTGGCCCCTCCTCTGGTTCCGCCATTCGCCACACACCAGACAGACAGAAAGTCCCCATGAGTCTATTACGTCATGTTAGCCTTTTCTCTACTTCCACACGTTTGAAAGTTCCTCTTACAAGGAGTTAACAATACATAAAAGCATCTATATCTTCCATTGATATTAAAAGTACTCTGGCACAAAATCTTGTTCTAATTTCTTTACGCCTGACCTCAGTACTCGCTTATTTGGTTCAGTGTTCAATACAACCAAAGTGCAGCCCAGGAAGACACTCAAGACCGTCTCCGGCGGATGGGACCCATAACAGCGCCAGAAGACCATCCTGGGGCCCTTAGAATTACTTTTGCCCAAGGCAGTATTTTCTACCTTTCACTGCTTAGAACTTTCTCTCCCTCCACTACCCCTGACTTTGACGAAGTTCCACACAGTATCAGAAAGATACACAGACGTGGAGAGAGAGGCGCCTGCCCTGGGTGCTCGTTCACACGCCGCTGACGCAAGGCCAGCGGCACCGCCCCTCAGCCACAGCACAGGCCCCGCCGGCTACCTCGGTCAGCAGGCGGGACAGGAGGCCAACGATGGTTTTCGATTTCCCTGTTCCAGGTGGCCCATGAATCAGACAGATCTTGGCAACTGCTGGGGAGTGTTTCACCATGGCATACGCCGTTTCTATCGCTTTCTCCTGGTCTTCGTTGAAATCTCTCAAGTAGGCTTTCTACACAAAAAATGAGAGTGAGAACAATAGGGAAAACCCCACAGGGACCCATCCTCAACCTAAAAACCACTTTCACTACTGGAAAGAAAGAAACTTTGTGTCTGTAGGCTTCGGCCCATAGACAAATACAAGTGTTATTTTTATTTGTGATTGTTATAAAGATGATGACAATAAACTGCTCTATAATTCTCTATTTCTTCTTTGGTTCTTCCCATTGTAGTCAATTCTCTCCGTAGACAGTAAAAACAAGTAGTACAGCGGAAAGAACATGGATTTGGGGTCAGATCTGAGTCTAAACCTCAGTTTCACTCACAAGCTAGGTCTCTTAAAACTCCTACCCTGTCTTAGTCCGTCTTCGTCATCCATTAACCCGGACTTCCTCGAAGGGTGAGAACTGGCTGAGCAGAGGCACAGGGAAGCCTAGCACTCAGCTCGGGTTCAGATAGATTCCTTTCTTTGCCTTTCTGTGTTAATTTCCTGGGACGTGTAGGAAGCTCTTCCAGTGAGATACGTGTTCACACAAAATGAGCTTCATCCCACTTGTGAGCACACACCTGTCTTCTCCTACGCCTGAATCTTCATCACCTAACAGCCATTTAGGTGATTACAATGTTGCTCGTCGAGCACACCTCCGATTCTTTATGGTTCTACGCCTTTTTCCTGAAGCAAGCTGATGACCCTAACACACACTCTGCAATATTAAGGACAACCAAGCACTAACCATCCCTGTGCACACGCTATCAACACTCAGCACATACACATGACATGATGCTCTAACATCCTGACATGGAACTGTCTGCCCTTCCCTGTTAGATCCTCAGCACTCACAATTCTCTCAGGTGTTGTCGGAGGCAGATCTTTTGTACAGAAGTCCATGGGGTTTGGGTTCAGAATAGCTCTGGCCAGTTGGTTTCGACTACTCAACAAAGACATGGCTTTCAACTTCCTTTGTGTAGTTACCAGAGAACTGATTACAACACATTTCACGATTTCGTTTAAATTGACTGGCAAATTATCTTGAGTCTGGATGGAAAGGGAACACTCATATTTCCCATTACGCACTAGTATCAAGGAAGAGAAAAAGCAATTTCAGTTACCAGTGAATACCAGTATCCAGTTAAAAAGATTATTCAGAATTAGGTATTTTATAATGTATGTCTTTGTATGACAAGTTATATAAATAATTCACTAAGGAAATACTTCTTGAACCAGGCTTTGGTTCTTCTTTAGAAGAGAGAGGCACACAAACATGTCAGGTGGTGATAAGAAAGTGCTCTGAAGAAAGCATAAAGGGGAGGAAGGGTGTGAGGTAGGGATCACTATAGACAGGAGTCAGGGAAGGTCTTCTGGATCAGGCAATAGTTGAGCAAGGACTTGCAAAAACGCCGCTCAGGAGGCTACTGCAGTCATCCAGGTAAAAGATCATGGCAGGATGGACCAGGACAGAGTAGCAGAGGTGGGGCCTGGGCTCAGGATACACTGCAAAGAGTCGATAGGATCTGCTGATGGACTAGATGTGGGGTGTAAGAGAAAGAGATCGAGGATGACTCTCAGGTTTTTGGCCTGAGCAACAAGAGGAAAGGCCCCACTTATTGAGATGGGAAAAACTAAGGGAATAGTAGATGTTGGGCCAGAAAAGCAAGTGTTTCTTTTTGGACAAGGTTTGAAAGGTGGAGATGTCTGATGGTTGGGTACATGAGGAGTTCAGGGAAGGAGATGACTTTAGAAATATAAATTTGGCAAATGTAATCATTTGCAAGAATCAGAAGCATGTATATATATCTCTGTTATTGCTGTTCTAAATGCATTCTACACGAATTGAGTTCTGATCACATTTACAATACACACACGACACATCAGTTACAATGTAGCCTGACGCTGAACTTCAAGGAGCTTAGTTGTTTTCCAAATATGATGCAAAAAGGCAAAGGAATAATGAAATCATGTTTTCCTTATATCACTGGGACTAAGAAAGCATCAACATCAAAAATGCAGCTTGGCATAGAATAAAGATGCACTTTGCAGGCAAACAGAAGGAGGCTGCAATTCTGCACTTATATTTAATGCCGAGGAAGACCTTGGTTTTGGTACTTAACATCCCTGAACCCTAGCTTCCTGACAGGCAGGAACAAATAATTCTTACCCCTTTGCAGGGCATTGGGGAGGATGATCAACGTGACAGGAAGGATAAGGCACACAGTAGTTGCTCATTAAATTCAAGCTAACATTATTTGTTATGCTGCCCTAGAGAGAGAAGTCCCTACAACCCAATGAACAGGGTGATGTAAACAGTAAACCCCCTCAAGCTGTCTCACAATTAATTACATGTTTAGTTTTCACATTAATAATGAGCCACAAAGCCAAGGCTGAAATGCAATTTAAGATTTAACAAACAGGTGGTTTACAGGTTGTCTGTTTCATAACAAACACAATGACAGATGAAGGAATATCCCACAAGGAGAAGACATTACAAAAGAAAGCATTTACATTATAAGTCTAATTTCAATTATAAGTCTAGAGCAATAAATACTGGACCATTTCCAGATGAGTCTAGAAAAACTAAAAGAGGACTCGAATGGCAATTAATCAACCTAGAGATCCAACAAATGCACAATGACCCCTGAACAACAAACCCTTCCTCACACAGTTGAAAATCCATGTATAACTTTTGATTCCCCCCAAGTTTTATTAATAGCCTACTGATGACCAGAAGTCTTACTGAAAACATACTCGATTGGAACACATTTTGAATGTTACATATTTATAATGTATTTTTACAATGAAATAAGCTGGAGAAAAGATAATGTTATTATGAAAATCATAAGGAAGAGAAAATACAACTCCTCCAGTATTTTTTTAAAAACCCACTTATAAGTGGACCCACACAGTTCAACCCCATGATGTTCAAGGGTCAACTGTACAGCAAAGACATGCTGGTAAAGGACAGCTTAGAGGGAAACTAAAGATGAGCGTACAGCTGCGGACTTCTCTTCAACATCCCATTATGTACTTACTGACTGACGAGCGGCGAAATTTATGAACATAAGCACAGTGATATTCATGGGGGCCTTGGATGAAATTCCCCTCTATATCTCTCTTCTCTGCACTCAGTCTCTCAGGAACCAAAAATACCAAATCGTTCTCCTTTGGATGAAGCTGTTTAGATAGTTCACATTCCTCAAGAAAAACTGCAGAAGAAGAAGAAGTCAGCATTTATCCTAAAAGAATTATTTTATCTTATTTTTCTTCCAAATTACAACAGAAAGTTTATTTAGAAAGTTACAGAGGTAGTAGAAGTGAGCCAGCTGGGCTGCACTGGGGCTTAGGGAAAAATCAGAGAAGTAGAAGGGCCCCCTTGAAGTTTAGGAGTGGGAAAGGCAAAGGTAACCCCTGGGGCAAGAAGAGGGGGATGGGAAGGGTTCCTTGGCGCTTTGGAAGGGGAAAGGCAAAGGTAACCCCTGGGAGAGGGATGGGGGATGGAAAAGGGGCAGGTGTGCTCCCCAGAGGGAAGGTGCCCAGAATTGTTTGAATACAATTAAGTTAAAGGACCCTAAACCCAGTGTGAAGTCCCAGCACACAGACAGCACCAGTGACTCACATACACACTTCAAAACGGGAGTCTACAAATAGTGATTACATAGTCACATCAAATTTTTCTTATAAACTGCTGAAAAGCCAAAACAGATGAAAACATAATATTCAGAAGTAGCTAATATATTTCCTTTCCTTGAAGTTTATTTCAGTTTTTTGTTGTTTTTTTTTATCCTCACCCGAGGACATTTTTCCATTTTTTGTTCAGGTAGACTGGGAGGGAGAGAGAGGAACAGAGAGAGAGAGAGAAACATCGATGTGAAAGGGACACATCGAGTGGCTGCCACCCGCACAACCGACCAGGGCCGGGGACAAACTGCAACCGAGGTACGTGCCCCTAGCGGGAACCGAACCCGGGTCTCTCAGGACCGCAGGCCGACGCTCTAACCACTGAGCCAAACCGGCCAGGGCTATTTCAGTTTTTAATCCAGAAATTTTCTCTTTTGTTCCTCACTTTCAAATTCCCAGGGGAAAACCCAGGAACAGACACAAGTACACATAAGAATTTTGTGTATATGAGTGGCTCGCAAAGCTCCTCAGTCAGCCCAGTGCTTGCAGGGAGTTGGCTCGTTGTCTGGGAAACTGGTCAAGAGTCAAGTACTCTTCAACCTTTCTTTGTGAAGTGTAACACCGAGTAACTAAATGATACAGAGACACTTTTCTTTTCTTTTTTTTTTTTATCCTCACCCGAGGACACTTTTTCATATTTTGTTCAGACAGAGTGGGAGGGAGAGAGAGGGAGAGAGAGAGGGAAACATCGATGTGAAAGGGACACATCGAGTGGCTGCCACCCTCACGACCCAACCAGGGCCGGGGACAAACTGCAACCGAGGTACATGCCCTTAGTGAGAACCGAACCCGGATCTCTCTGGACCTCAGGCTGACGCTCTAACCGCTGAGCCAAACCGGCCAAGGCAAGAGACACTTTTCTTTATAGAGCTATTCCAACTAATAACTAAAGAAATGATCCAGTGAAAATATCACCATTTCGTATCCTTGAACAAATTAGTCAATCAAGGCCTTAAGCGTAACAGCTAAAAATACTACAAAAAGTGAAGAAATTAGACATCGGGCACCTCCTGATAAAGGAAAATACCACCATTGGTGAAAGTTTTGCCAAAAATAATACATCAAACCCCTGGATCCAGTGATCAATTTACAGGAAATGGACACAGAAACATAGACTGAACACCACCAGGGGGTTGCAATCAGCAAAATACAGTAACTCTACAAGACCAATGACCCAATTTCTTCAACAAATAAATTACAGAGGTAAAAAATTTATGAGCTCATTATAGTTTTTAAAATAAAATAAAATTAAAAAACCGTATCAACCAATGTCAATGAGTGAAGCTAATTTGAATTTTAATTCAAATCAGCTGAAAAAAAAATTATTTGAGGAAAACTGGAAATTTGAACGCTGACCAGCTATCTGATATTAAGAAACTGTTAATTTAGCCACAAAAATTTTATTTTATCATGATTTTTAAGGTTGATATCTTTTAGAGATAGTCACTGAAATAAAATTATAAATGACAAAAAAAAAAAAAACTAACCAAAGATAGTCTGCAAAACCTCTCCACAGAGAACTATAAAACATTACTGAAAATAACCTAAATAATTGGTGATATATGCCTTACATATTAGTTAGAAAACCAGTATTAGAAAAATGTCAATTCTTAACAAGTTTTCACATTTTTTCCCTCTAAAATTCATATGGGAATGCAAAGGGACACTAATAGCCAAGGCATTCCGAAGGCAAAAAACAAGGTAGACTTACTCACTGGATGTTAAACTTATCACAAAGCTAGGCTAAGGAATCAGGCAGTGTGATATGGGCAGAAATGATCCAATAAAGGAGTGAGTCCAGAAGAAGCCCCAGTCATGAGGTGAACACTAGATTTATGACCAAAATGGCTCTGTGGAGCACAGAGAAAGGATGGGCTCTTCGATGAAGATGAACAGACCGCGATAACTCCATCTCCACTAGGAAAACAAATGCGACAGGAGCCCACACCTCACTCCTGCGCAAAACTCAACGTCAAGCTGATAAAACAACAAACCCTCCAGAAAAGGGGCTGGCAAACATTTTCTGTAAAGAGCCAAATATGGTATCTGCTGCACATTTATCATCATTTTTTTTTCAAGCCCTTTAAAATGTAAACCCGAATCTAGGGCAATACAAAAACAGGATATGGGGTGGATCTGCAAACTGTAGCTTGCTGACACGCCTCTAGATGTTAAGATAGCATCTTGATGACCTGCGGCAGGAAGGGTTCATAAATGAAGCACAGGCACTAACCACACACACACACACACACACACACACACACACACACACAATGTGTCTGTTATATTAAAAGTAAGAAATTCTTACGAAGAATAAAATAAGAACTTTTAGGACATCACTGAGTGAGTCCAAATGCAAGCCAAAGTGGCAGAATGGCTTGCATCCAGCTTCTACAAAGAATCTCTACAAATCAATAAGAAAAAGACAACTAACAGAAAGTGAACAAGAGCCTTCAATAAGCACTGCCCCAAAGAAGTTATTGAAGCACCTACTAAATCTATGAAAGGTGCTCGACCTCACTGTCTATTACAAAGGGTATTACAAAATAAAACCACAATAGGCCATCAATACACACACTGTAATGGCTAAAATGAAAAAATGAACACGACAATCAACACAGACGTGTTTGTGCAGACACAGACTGACAACTTCTCAGATGCGGCTAGTGGGTATGACTGTACAACAGGCTTGGCATTATCTCAAGCTGAGCTCAGTATACCCTGGGTCTCCGCAATCACTGCTGGATGTGCTCCACAAAAACGCCCTCAGAGAAACACTAGGGGACACCTGAGTGATCACCACAGCACTACTCACACGAAGCTGTGTGTGTAAGTGGACACAGCAGGCCTGAGGCTGTGACCCATAGAAAGGCCTGCTTACACAGTGCGCTCTTGGCATCGGGGAATTTGTATTTCAGGGTAGTTATCACTCACTGATGAGAACAGCTCACTGTGGCTAAACTGTTTGCAGAAAGAATATGGCTTATGCCAAACACCCGCCTTCCTTCTGAAAGTAGAAACTCAGGCTGGACAGAGGTGGTGTGTGCTGTCAGGACTCATGACTGGGAAAATGAAGCGTGTCCTGGGTGACTCTGCTGGGAGAAGACTCGGCAAGCTTTCCCCTCATTTCCTCCCGTCTCCACCCCACATGCTTCTTCCCCTTGTATCCCTGATTTTGCTTTGTATCCTTTCGCCATAATTAAGTCACAGCTGCAAGCATATGTTGAGTCCTCTCAGCAAATCATTACATCTCAGATGGTCATGAAAAGCCCTGATAAACAGGTCAAAACTTCTGGGGAAAAATGTCTACCAACAGTGAAATTCTGATATAGTATACAATGAAATCCTAGCACAGCGATGAAAAAGTAACAAATATGCACACAAAGCTGATGAACTGTACAGAAATGTTATAGCAAAGAAGCCAAACACGAGAGTGAATTTTATGTGAGTCTATCACACAATCAAAATAAATGCCAGATAAATTAGTGATTTAAATATTATTTACAACAAAGCATCCAAATTAAGAAGAAAACCTCCCTAACAGAAAAAACGACAAAGGGCACAATTATTATCCCTGCCCTCGACCCCCAATAATACTAATGACCAGTGAAAGCCTGGGGACAAAAACCACAACCTCAAATGAGATACATTTTCATGTATTAAACTGAAAGAAAAGTTTAAACCAGCACATGAGGGAGAGATACATTCTGCTATCCTATGTACAAGTGAAAATGATGTTCCTTCTGGAAGGCAGAGGCAATATGAATGAAAAGTCTCAAAAGCGCTGCATCCTGTCTGACCTGCACAAAGCTTTACTCGGTGTTTGTAACAGTGACAAACTATGTACAGTGTCCATGCCCAATTAGCAATGATTGGTTAAATGGAACTATGGAATATGCTTATAATGCATAATTACAAATATTACATATACTATCATTATTTAATAACTCTAAAAAAAAATCCACAACATAGTAAATAAAATAAGTCAAATGTAAGCTTCATGAAGGCAGAAATTTTCTTTTCTTAACAGCTACATATCCAGCATCTAGCATCATATACAATCAGATAGTACATACAGGGTGAGGCAAAAGTAGGTTTACAGTTGATCACATGGAAAATAACAATAATGAATAAATAATACTACAAGAATAAATTCTGTTTCATGTACTCACAGTTGCAAACCAACTTTTGTCCCACTCTGTATGCCAATAAATATTTGCTGAATAATTGGTCACAAAATAGGCAAAATGACCTCACACTACACACTCACACCCATACACCCACACACCACACACAATTCACACAGGAAAGGAGAAAGTCTGGCAGTAAGACACATACTTATATGTTCACAGGATTATCTCTGAACAACAGCAATGTTGGGTGATGTCTATTTTGTTGCTGGCTAATATTATCTGAATGTTCTATTATGAACGTATAGTACCTTATCCCCAAAACAGATGCAAATGTTTTCTTAGGTGCATCTATGGAGTAGGGTGAATTTAGGGGATTGGGTAGGATTTCTACATCTTTTTTTTTATTTACTTCTTTATTTTGTTAGTACTCACTCAAGGACATTTTTCCATTGATTTTTAGATAGAGTAGAAGGGAGAGAAGGGGAGAGGGGGAGAAAGAGAGAGAAAGAAACACCAATGTGAGAGAAACACATCGATTGGTTGCCTCCCACAGGACCCCGACCAGGGCCATGGACTGAACCTGCAACCCAGGTATGTGCCCTTGACTGGAATCGAACTCGAGACACTTTAGGGTGAGGGCCAACACTCTCACCGCTGAGCCACAATGGCCAGGGCTGTACTTCTTTTCAAGAGTTCTGAATATGTGGCTCGTCTATGACTGACACACAGATGGGCTCACGAGTTCACATGATCATGAAACGAGAAGGCAGACAGCAGGAAGACTTACTCAGAACCTGTAAACACTGTCATCATAGTGCACCCTCCCCATCACACCCTCTTCACTTCCATGGACACTTGGGCCTGTGGTATTCTATTTACAGAATGATTAAAACCATACATTTTATAGTCATAACTGTCCCAGTAATTATCCTCATTAGGACTTTAAATATATTCTTTGTAACAGGTTACAAATTCAGCTTAAGAAACCTATGTCCCAGAAAATTCAATGACATTTCCTCAAATAAAAATGTCCAATTATTATATGTTCCAAGTTATATAAGAAAGAACTTACCCACAAACTCCCAGTACTTTTTATATTCTGCAGGATATTTTCGTAACTGCAACTCGTAGAATTTTCCTTTATTTGGAGAGCTGAGCCATTCCTGTGCTACCTATACAAAGTGAACAAGGCAAATTGAGAAAGCAAAAACATTCTGGAAAGCCAATGCTAAACAGCAAAATTTCCGAGAGTAAGCCCCAGTAAAGTCCAGAACCTAAAATCCCAGGTGACAGAAACCACCCTCCCCCCCAATTAATTTGGGACTCGTTTCCTATTCAGCATGTAAGGATCTTAGAAGTCGCCACTCCATCCTGACAAGTGAAAAGCTGAACAAGGTGGAAAGTCAACAACTCTCTGATATTCAACAGAGAAGTGCTGCCCCCAAAACTGGAGAGACACAGGTGGACACAGATAACCACAACTGACAGAGCAGAGCCCCTAAGGAGAAATCTGAACTTTGACAAACTGCTGGAGGCTCAGTATGGACAAGGCCAATTCTGAGAACTCCAGGGGGACCCAGGACAAGGGCCCACACTCGGTGAGCTCTACCTCTGGGAGCTCTAGCAGGTCCTCGCAGCGACTACAGGAGAAAACCCCTCTGCTTCCAGCAGGGGCAGAGAAGAGGAGCCACTTTGAACACACCAGAGCATTCCAATCTTACCAGGCCTGCTCGGTGGGGAGATATTTGACCAGAGACTAACCTGCTGGGTATCATCAGGACCTCATTTACGTGGAGGAAGAGAAATAACCAACTCCAGCCCACTCCAGCCATCGTGTCCCACCAAGGAGGCGAGGGGCTGAAACGTGCGTGAAGCTCCCCGTCCGGAGGCAGGGCTAGCATGAGACCACAAGATGCTTCAGCTCCCCGGCAGCTCCCCACATTAGTGAACGCCTATTTGTGGCTGTTCCTTTCACCCAATACATCAACCTTTCAACAAAAATTACAACACATACTCAAAGGCAAAAAACACAATTTGGCCCAGGCTGGTGTGGCTCAGAGGTTAAAGCATCAATCCATGCACTGAAAGGTTATGGGTTCGAGTCCCTGTCAAGGGCATATACGTGGGCTGCAGGTGTGTGATCCCTGGCACTGGTCAAGGCATGTGCAAGAGGCAACCAATTGATGTGTGTACGATGTGTCCTCTCACATCAACGTTTCTCTCTCTCTCTCCACCCCCTTCCTCTCACTCATTCTAAGGGGGGAAAAAAGCAACGAAAAAATATCCTTAGGTGAGGATTAACAATAAAAACAAACAAACACACAATTTGAAGAACAAGCATTAGAACCAGAGTCAGTTATAGCAGAGGTGTTGGAACTATCAAACCAGGGAATTTAAAAAACTGTAGCTAAGCCCAGCCAGTGTGGCTCAGTGGTTGAGCATTGAACCATGCACCAAGAGGTTGCCAGTTTGGCTCCTGGCGGGGCACATGCCCAGGTTGTCAGCCCAATTCCCAGTGGGGGGCATGTAGGAGGCGGCCAATCAATGTCCTCTCTCATCGATGTTTCTATCTCTCCCTTCCTCTCTCTTTAAAATTAATGAAGAAAAAATATTTTAAAAAAATAAACAAATAAATAAAAACTGTAGCTAATATGCTAAGAGTTTACTGGAAAAGGGGGACCATGTAAGAACAGATGAGGAGCCCGGCCAGTGTTGCTCAGTGGATTAAGCGTCCACTGACAGGTCCTGGTTGGATTCCTGGTCGGGGCACATGATGGGTTGCGGCTTGATCCCCAGTAGGGGGCGTGCAGGTGACAGCCAGTGTATCTCTGTCACATCAATGTTTCTGTCTCTCTCTTCCTTCCTCTCTCTCTAAAAAAAAATAATAAAAACACATTTAAAAAAAACAGGTGAGTAAGGTAAGCAGAGATGCACATGATAAGAATCAGAAAGAAAGGCTAGTGATCAAAAGCACTGGTACAGAAATGGAAAACAAGAGGGCCTTCAACGGGCTCACTGGAGACTCGGCTGAGGAAAGACTCTGAGCTCGAGCCTATAGCCACAGAAACTACCAAAGCTGAAAAGCAGAGAGAAAAAAACTGGGGAAAAAAGAATAGGATATCCAAGAACTGTCAGACAACTGCAAAAGGTGCTACAAACATGTAATGGGAAGCCCAGAAGAAAGAGGAAGAAACAGAGACATATTTGAAGCAATAAAGGCTGAGAGTTACCCCAAATTAATGTCAGACACCAATCACAGATCCAGGAAGCTCAGAGAACACCAAGCAGAATAAATGTCAAAAGCAAAACAAACCACACGTAGGCACAACGCTGCCGGGTGCTAACACCACAGAATTATCAGCTGCTTTCCTGAGGTTCACACCTAACTGAGAATCAGATATCATGTGCAGTCCTCCTGGTGGAGTGAGGGAGAGAAGAACCAGATCAGGATGTGCAGGGGAGTGGAGGAGAGGCCGCTAAAGGGAGAGCGCAGCTGCTATGAGTAAGAAACTGGGAAGACAGATGTGCTAAGAGGATTTACTGTTTTCTGTTGCTCAGTGTAAACTGCCCTTTGCCACCTCTTCACGAAAACTGGAGTAAAGGTCTACCTAACTTAAAACAACAAGCAGCAAGCAGATGGGAGACGAGCTTCTGTGAGAAGCTTCCCTTCCCTGTGCACTAGCGAACATCTCCTCCTGCGTTGGCTTGGCAGTACGCCTGAACTGGGCCTGTAGGCTCCAGAAGGGCAGAGGTGAGGAAAGCATCCCCTCTGTGCCACCAGCATCTCGAGCAGTGTGTGGCCGGATGTCTGTTCACCTGAAATCTAGAGGCTACAGCAACACGACAGCAATTGTTTTAACTGCACTCTGTCACTCAGCGGGGTTAAGAAAAGAGCAACTTCAAAGCCTGAATGGTACACAATTAAAATGCATACTTACAGTTTCAAAAGTATTCAATATCATCAAAGGGAAAAAAACATGAAAATAATCTCCACAATCTTGAAATCTGACAGGCACGGGTCTTGAGATGGCCTGACAAAGACTTGCTGGCGGCCCACACTTGTCAAAGCTCAAAAACATCTCAAATTTCCACTTCAAGACCTCTTTGATGAAGGTGTCAAAGACGGACTGTGATGACAAGAGAATGTTGACCGGAGAAGAGGAAAAAGGTCTGCAGTCACCAAATGGGAATTTGTAGGCTGGCCAGCTGGAATGATTTGGAGTTGGAGAATGAAGAACATTGCACAGACTCTTCAATTCACCCATTGGCTTCGGACACAACAGAGAGGCCGGCTGTGGTCCTTTCAAGACAGACTGTCCTCCACTTGACTTATTTTTTAGGCCTGGAAGTGCTGAGGTACTTTCCAAAGACTTGGAAAGATTAGCAGTTCGCGAAGTGCTGGTAAAAATCTTTGCCGTGGGTCTCCAAGGTTTAGGCGCAGAGAGAGGCCTGCCAGGTTTCCGGAAGACATCTCCATCGGCTGCTTTGGGTTTGGAGTGTTTCAAGCAGTATTCGCCCTGGGTTCGCACGATTTCGAAACAATCTTTGTACTTACATGTTGTGCTGCTCAGAGAGTCCAACTGAGGCCGATTCACAGCATCTTCTGCTCCCTGAACACGATCTTTCCTGTGGACGACTTCAATGAGTCTATCACTACCACTGTGCATTTGTGTACCCAAGTCCATGTCTTCAGGATCATGCTGTGTTAAAAAGATATCATCTTCTTCCATATCACTGTCAGAGTCGGGTTGTCCCTTTTTCGAAGTTGCCACCTCTACATGATGTCTGGTCAGGTCACTTCCACCTAACGGGTCCGCTGAAGTGGAGGCTGTCGTGTCACTTGCTGGCATCCTTCCGTTGAATACTGGGGAATTACACAGCTTCAGAAGACAAGCACCACCGGCTGCCTGAGAAACATGGTTTGCCTTCACGGGTTCTGGTTCAGGAGACACACACCTGCGTGACTGATTTCCACTGCTGTTAGCCACCACCTTGGTCGCCCCTTTACGGCTGCCATCTGACCTACTGCACTCCGGCGTGGCTCGGCTGGAATTCGGGGTTGCACGCAGTCCTGCTCGTCTGTCTGCACTTCCATAAGGCCCTGGTCTGTTTTGTTGAGATCTGGGTCTCGTCTGCCTTTGAAACTGAAGATCCTGACTCACAAGCAGTTTCTTGTCTTTCACAGGAAGAGTCTGAGGAGAAATCAGTTTAGTCTTTTTTGGGGTATCAATGGCGCCAACAGTTTTGCCATGGCGACGTAACTGACCTATAGAATCTAAAGATCGCTGTGACAACTCGAATGCACGGCGAGGAGCCTTTTTCAGACCAAGCTTCTCAACTGTGGACGTGGGCTCGGGACACTGGCGAAGTTTCCTTGGTGGCACCACGGCAGGTGCGGTCCTACAGCTCAGGTAACTTGCACTTTTATTCTGCCCTTTTTTGGTATCTGAGTGTGTTTTCTTAGGCGGTTTGGAAACAGGGAGTCTCCTCGTGGATTTGGAGTAAGTACAAGGCTTTGAAGAAGACTTCTTCGAGGAAACCAAAGTGGCTCTCTCAGCACTGGGACCCGGAGATGTCCGTATGTCTGTAATTTTAAAATTATTTTCAGTGAGCTCTCTCTCATCAAGCAGCTCAGACCGGTCCTCATTCCTGACAGAGGATGAAGAATCTTCAGCCATCGGTTTCTTAAATTGTTTTCTCTTAGGTTTCTTGGCTTGACGCTCACAAACCTCAACAGTACTACTACTTCGTGGCTCCACGAGGCCAGTGCCCTCTGTTCCATCTTTGGTCACTTCTTCAGACATAGGAGAGTCTGTATCGTAGCCCCAAATATTTGTGATAATAGCTATATGAGGCAGACATGAACTCTCTTCATCCCCTAGAACCGAATTCTTGTGGTCTGGTTTCTGATCGTGCCAAACTGAAAACACTTCCTGTTGGCTTTCAAACTCAAAAACCTGAGACTCATAGTCCTCCACCTGCAAGGTGGAATCTGTCTTTTCGTCACTCAGCGTACTGTCCACATCTGTGCTAGCTGTTGAAGTGCCCTGCTCCGGACATTCTTTCTCAATGAGCATCTTCTCTTGTTTAATGTGTTGCTCAAAACTCAGAACTCGCTCATCATCATCAGAATCTGAAATAATAATGACTTGTTCATAGCAGATTTCCTTGACATTATTTTGGTTGTCTCTGAAACTTCTTTTATTTTTTACTTTTCTTTGTAGATGGGATGGGCTTTTTTGAGTTGAATCTGATGGAAACTTAATGACACGGGCTTGAGCTATTAAAGATAATTTGTGGAGGTCTCTGTCTACCTGAGAATCTGTTAGGGTGTCCAACTGGGGGCTGATGCTGGGGGCCTGTTCTCTCAGGTCAGAAGAAACCTGGTCAGTGCCCTTGCTGATTTCCTTATCTCTAAATCCAGGCAAAGTGACAGGATCTTTAAAGGGATATGTTCTATGCATGAAAGTATTAATCCTTTCTGTAAATGAAACCAAATCTTTATTATCGACATGACTCAATTCCTGTATTTGACCATTTTCATGGGAAGAAAGGACATCTAACTCTTCATCCTTCAACTGTTTCTTTTTCAGCAAGAAACTGTTATGAGACTTTTGTCCTCCATTTTTATTATCCTGACCGTCAGTCGGATCTGAAGAGAGGTTGTGTGTGAAGCTCTCCCCTTTCTGATCTCCAGTATCTGTCCTCGAACAGACATTCTTGGTGTCGGAGACAGTCAGGTCTCCCTCTAAATCCACAGGGTTACTCACCACGGCACTTTTCCTGTGTTGCTTCATTATTCCATGGGATAACTTAGTACAGATTTCACTTTTTTGTGCCTTAGTTTTTTCTTCTGAAGCTTCTTTCTTTCGAGAGAAATCCTCTTTGGATGTGGACACCTTTGCCAGAGAATCAGTGTTAGACTCAGTTGACAAACATGTTGACGTAAGTCCTCCTTTGTCACACCCCCTTTCTGGATCACTTCTTGAAGTACAGCTCTGTGGTGTACAGGAGCAATTACCTTTCACAGACTTCTTCCTTGTACGTATTTTCACTTGATCTTTGGCTCTTTCAGTGGAGAGGTCTTTATCACTCTGCTTTGAGCATGACTCAGCTGAGAGATGGTCCTCTAGTTTCAAATCTGTTATGGAATTTTGCTCGCTGCCCTCTTCCACAGTATCACTTGCTTTGTTTAGTATACTGCTCTCTTGCACTTGACATACATCAGCTTTCATGGGTTCTTTAGAAAATGTTGGGCTGGAACTTTCCAGACAGTGGGCGTCTTTCTCACACGTCTTCCCTACTTGTTCACTTTCTTTATTACAAGAGGCTGGAAGGAGTTTACATGAAGGAGCCGGCTCCACCAAAGCAGTATATTGAGGTACTTTGATTCTTATGTTTCTAATAATTTGCTTCAAACAAGTTTGCAACTCGTGGGTTTCCTGACTAGTCAACTGCCACCCTAGAGACACATTCCCTCGCAGGAATAAGTTGAGCTTATCCCAGAACTGCTTACAAAGCGCCTGCTGCCCAAGGTGATGCCCTTCCTTGAGGAGACTTCTCACCAGCTGCACACAAGCGAGCTGCACGGAGTTGGCGGGCAGTGGATGCAGCGACAGAGAGGTTATCATTGCCGCTCCTTTGGGGCCACTGCCAGAAGACTTCTCGGAGCTCCGGGCAAACGCAGTGGTGGGAAGCTTGGCGCATTTCACAATGGCTTCTACCCACTGCTGGGAGCTAACCCACAGCAAATGCAAACATTTTTTACTTCTATGTAGTTCAATCACTGACACCAAAATTAGAAAGAAAAATTCAGTGACTTTGTCACACACGACCACTGTTTCGTTGAGAACATCTTTGACTTGGGAATGCAGGTGGTGAATGACCTCTACTATATAAGCCACACCCAGATCCTTAAGATCCATGAGGGATTGAACAAAAGGGATGAACCACAGAAACGTGCTGTTGTGAACACGCATGTCTTGACCAATATCTGACTGAAGCACACTGGCTAACGTTTCCATTTCTTCATACATGTTAGGACAATAATCTGGGCAAATGGCTGATCTCCACCCTGAATCCTAAAATGAAAGAAATACGGACATTCAGACAAACAAGCACCATTCATGAGAGGGTTAGCACACAAGCTGTAAACAAGAAAACATGTGGCTCACTTTCCTATTTTGGTCTACACATACATATAGCCCCAAGAAACTGAAAATCTGGTTCAGTTTGGAGGTGCAGGTTTCATGTAAGGCAGCAGTTCTCAACCTGTGGGTCGCAACCCCTGTGGAGGGTCAAATGACCCTTTCACAGGGGTCACCTAAGATGTAACAGTAGCAAAATTATAGTTATGAAGTAGCAACAAAAATAATTTTATGGCCCTGGCCGGCTTGGCTCAGTGGTTAGAGCGTCGGCCTGCAGTCCAGAGAGACCCAGGTTTGGTTCCCACTAAGGGCATGTGCTTCAGTTGCAGTTTGTCCCCGACCCTGGTTGGGTTGTGTGGGTGGCAGCCACTCTATATGTCCCTTTCACATTGACGTTTCTCTCTCCCTCCCTCCCTCCCACTCTATCTGAACAAAATATCAAAGTGTCCTCGAGCCCTGGCCGGTCTGGCTCAGCAGTTAGAGCGTCGGCCTGCGGTCCAGAGAGACTTGGGTTCGGCTCCTGCTAAGGGCACGTACCTCGGTTGCAGTTTGTCCCTGGCCCTGGTTGGGTCGTGTGGGTGGCAACCACTCAATATGTCCCTTTCACGTTGATGTTTCTCTCTCTCTCTCCCCCTCCCACTCTATCTGAACAAAATATCGAAAAATGTCCTCAGGTGAGGATTAAAAAAAAAAGTGTCCTCGGGTGAGGATAAAAAAATAGTAATTTTACGGTTGGGGGTCACCATAACATGAGGAACTGTATTAAAAGGTAGCGGCATTAGAAGGTTGAGAACCACTGATAAGGGGACATTAACAACACCTCCATGTACTCCGACCCTCTTTCCAGTAGTTTTGATAGCCCCCACCCCATAACCTTTCCACCCTTCCTAACTACAATTAAAAATGTATTTTCCAGTGTGCATGTTGTCATCCAAGTCCACCACTGCCATGCGCACCGCATCCGGCTCCACCAGAAAGCCTTTACACAGCAGCTGACTGCAAAGAGCCACACATCGTAGAATCAGAAATTCAACTATGTAAACGTGGTCTTACACTATAAAGACAATACAATGTCACCTAAATCCTCACAATGTGTGATACCTTTTTGGTCTTTTCAGGGTTGTAACTGTACACAATCTGGCTGCAGGTAACCATATCATCCAGACATGACTCCGGCTCTACCTTGGTCCTTAAACATTAAGAATAAATAGAAATTACAGAAATGAAGAAAAAAAGAAAACCCCTATTTTTCAGATACAACAGAGTGCCTTATAGATAACTCTGAAACCCTGGCACATCTGGGAGCTAACCTTACAGAGCTGCTCCGTATACGCTGGATCTCTCTGTTGTAGCTCGCGTTGTTGATGATGGTCTGAAAGGCCTCAATGGGATCAATAAGTTGACCCCAGACCTTAGATCCCAGGCGATCTAGAATGACCATGAAACAGTGTAATGCTGGCCAGAAAGGATCTTCACTCTCATCTGAAACACAATGGAATTATTGCCAAATTACAGAACAATTAGAAAAGATACTAAAATACATAAAGAATTAAGCATTCTTTACCTGGATAGCAACAAAAACTAAAAACGAAGCAAGTAACTGAAAGTAAAGCACTGCCAATTTTAACTACGTTGTCATTAGAAATGTATCCCCCCAGATTCATCCAAGTCCACCAAGTTTTAATTCTACCACTAACTGGGTGTTTAAACATGAAAAAGGAAGTTGACTTCCCTGGCCATCCATCTCTTCTTTTATGAAAATAAGGTGCTGAATTAAACTCTAAAGGTCCCTTCCAATTTAGAATTCTGAATCTGTGACCCAAACCATAAAATGTTTTCTTTGCTCCACACCATACAGCCAAGTCTTGTAGTGACACCAGTATTTTAAAAGTACACCATCCTCACAGTACTCAAAAGCATTTAGCAAATCAAGTGTATTACCCTCTGACTGCCTCTCCATGATGTGAAGTATTGACTGCATGAAATCGTTCTGTTTGTCTGAGCCCAGCAGCAGCGAATCCATGGCGCGCTCCTCAAGAATGGTCAGCAACATGCAGATACCTGTAAGATTTACAGTTTTCTTGCATCGATTAAATAACACCATCCTAATGCTTCCTCTGATTTAGTTGGCAAAAGAATAACAAAGCGGAAAGATAGAGCAAAACAAATTCCAGTTCCTCAAATATTTAGCTCTGAAATTTTCATATATAATTGCTCCTAAGTAACAGGACTTCAGACTGATTTGGGGGAAAAAGGGGAACATGGGTACAAACTTGGTTAGAAAATAATTTCTAAGATGACTACCACTCAATCTGTATTTCATCAAATCTAAGACAGCTTCAATTTTAAGATCACTATATTTCAAGTACCAACCTCCCCCAAGTATGACCCATGATTGTAAGACTTCACATCAATGAAGTAATGGGGAACTATTTTGAGTCAGTGTAGAACTTGTTTAAAACCAAAGCTAATATCTCTTTCTACTGGGAAATATTTTACAGATGGGAAAAGAGGCATTAAGCCTCTTTGTAAAATAGATCATACACTACTGAAGTCAACTCTATCAATATTTTTTTACATCTAATATTGCTTCAAATAAAATATCTATTTGCTACACTTGAAAACGTACCTCTTGCCCTGGCCGGTTTGGCTCAGCGGTTAGAGCGTCGGCCTGCGGTCCTGAGAAACCCGGGTTCGGTTCCCGCTAAGGGCACGTACCTTGGTTGCAGTTTGTCCCCGGCCGGTTGGGTCGTGTGGGTGGCAGCCACTCGACGTGTCCCTTTCACGTCGATGTTTCTCTCTCTCTCTCTCTCCCTCCCACACTCTATCTGAACAAAAAATAGAAAAAATGTCCTCGGGTGAGGATAAAAAAAAAAACAACGTACCTCTTACATAGGTGGTTTCTAGGATAAATATTTAAAAACAAGATGTGTAATGGTTATGTGTGGTTATGTCAAATTAATGACAAAAGAATTGGGAACTATGAAATCCTGTAATTAGCAATGTTGATAAGATTACCAAAAGAGATCACTTCCTTTGTAGGACATTCATCAGAACTACAGGAAAATACTAATGATATCGATGTAGTGACAATACTTACCTAACCAATAGTTTTTGTAGTTGGTAGTATCATACATGTGTGAGGGTAGGATGATCAGTTTACCCTTCTCAAGGACAGAAGAAGTATAAATGTCTGGATTTTCTAAAAGCCCCAACTCAATGACTTTAAAAAGGCAAGTCAAAACCTCCTGTAAGTCATAATAATCATCTCTGTCCACTTTTCCCAAGCCTTTTGCAGTCAGGATAGCCCAACGCCGAACCTAAAAGCATAACACAGTTGTTACTTCATTCAACAAACAATTGTCTACATACAGCAAAAACATAGTTAAGAAAATAGGATTCCCGCCCTGGCTGGTTTGGCTCAGCGGTTAGAGCGTCCGCCTGCGGTCCGGAGAGACCCGGGTTTGGTTCCCGCTAAGGGCACATACCTCGGTTGCAGTTTGTCCCCGGCCCTGGTTGGTTGTGCGGGTGGCAGCCACTCGATGTGTCCCTTTCACATCGATGTTTCCCTCTCTCTCTCTTCCTCTCTCTCCCTCCCACTCTATCTGTACAAAAAATGGAAAAATGTCCTCGGGTGAGGATAAAAAAAAAAAAAGAAAGAAAATAGGATTCCCTATAGATTTTAAAAAACACAAGCTACTAGGGTCCTGGCCTCACAGCTCAGTTGGTTAGCGCATTGTCTCGATATGCCAAGGTTGTGGGTTTGCTCTCTGGTCAGGGCACATAAAAAAAAAAATCAACCAATGAATACATAAATAAGTGGAACAACAAATAGATGTTTCTCTATCCCTTCTTCTCTCTCTAAAATCAATTTAAAAAAACAAAAGACAAAAAAAAATTTTTTTAAGACACGATACTGACGCAATGTATGAACCTTATTTGATCCTGATTTGAATAAACTAACCCTAATAAAGCATTTACCAGGTCCTCATTTCCATTCATTTAAACACTGGTTAGAAATGACATTAAAAATCATTATTTTAGGTGTGGGGAGGGTGTTTTGTTTTTTTACCGAAGCCAGTCAAGATGTTGGACTAGGTAAGTGCCGTGCTTGCCTCCTCCCACGACCACATCAAAACTGCCACTGAATTATAGAACTATCACCTTGAGAACCCTTGAAGACCAGCCAAACAGAACCCCTATAACTAAGGATGTAAAGATGAAGCCATGTTGAGACTGCGAAAATAAATAAGCAGAAAGTCCCTACCTTTTAGAGACATGTTCTGACGCATCTCATGGATAAAATGCTCTGGCGTCTCAGGTTTGCTCTAACTCGTCCCAAGGGGGGTCAACATCAACCATGTACTGAGAACTGATGCAGCTCAGTGATGGATACATAGGGGTTCACTATACCATTCTACTATTGTATGTTTGTCATTTTCCATAATAGAACATTTTTTAAAAGGAAGAAAACAATGAAAAGAGGAACCTCAAAAGAAACACCTACGCACTAAGCGCAATGCCAGGGTTCAGTGCCTGGTGCTGCCCTCGGCACCTTTCCTGCCCAGTACTCTGGTGACCTCACACTCCTCTTCATTTCTAGCACCTGAAAACGGGATTTCCTCCATCCCTTCTCCCGCTTACACTTACTTTATTTATTGTTAATCCTCACCTAAGGATATTTTTCCATTAATTTTTTTTTTTTCAGACAGAATGGGAGGAAGGGAGAGAAAGAAAGACAACTGGCTGCTTCCCACTCAGGGTCAGGGATTGAACTAGCAACCGACATAGGTGCCTTTGACCGGGAATCGAACCCGCAACCCTTTTGCCAGGGGAAGACGCTCTAACCACTGAGCAAACTAGCCAGGGCCCCACCCACACTGTAAAAAAAATCTCATCTACTGGCAAAATAATTTTTTCAAACACTGTAACTAGTATTTCCATGTGTCTGGAGTGGGGCAGGCAGACAAGGAAGCGAGAGAGAACAGTCCTTCAATGGTTCAGGTCAACACAGTAAAAGACGTTCAGATTATTACAATTTGTCTTCTAAGCTGAAGCAGAACCTACCAGAAGTGTTCTGACAAACATTTCAACAAATACGTGTCAGAACTTCTATTACTGCCACCTACGCATGCAAACATAGCGTGTGCTTCCGTCGCCTGACACACTCACCATTTCATTGGGATGGACCAAAAACAAATAGATCCCAGGCTGTTTCTCAAACACCTGAAAGGAGCAATTCGCTTGTTCCATCCGACACAGCGCTTCAACACATAACTCATCTAAACAGACAAAATAAGGGAGTAAACATAAGACATGCATTTTATCAATTTATTGAGCCCCTAAAGCTGGCTCCTTCAGTTGTTTCGTGAGTGAATGAAAACTCGTTCCTTGTAAATGTAGGCGCATTATGTACCTACCTGAAAGACTAACTGATCACAGTGTGGTTTTGATGAATTATTCTGACTAGTATATACATCTCTTTATTTTTTTACTCTTGACATAATTATCTACATATGTATCTTCTTAGAAGTATAGTTACACGTCCAACTCCATTAGTATTTTACATTTGATTCATGTGGATTTTATTGGTACTGGAGTGATAAAGTCAGCTTCCCCTCACCTCCAACCCCCCCCCCACACACACACACACATACACACACACTGGCTATTTTATCTTGCTCTTGTTTACTGAAGAATCCATTTTTCCCACGGGTTTGAAATGCTACCAACATCAAACACTAAATTCCCCAAATAGACCTGCCTTATTTCTGGACACTACACTGCTCCCCTGTGTAAGCATGGTTCTAACTCCTGTTGCTTTATGGAATTTTCATCATTACTCTTGCCAGAGTGTTCTCAATAGACTTGTACATTTACCTATGAGATGAATCTTCTTCAGTTTGTTAAGCTAACATTGTTAGTGGTAGTGGTTGGCTTTGGGGAGGAGGGAATGATGACTTGAACCACATGAGGGGAGTTCCTGGGGTACTGATACTGTTTCTTTATCTGAGTGGTGGCCACAAAAGTTGTGGAAAAAAACACCAAGCTTATTACTTTTCTGGACATAATATTCTTTTCTTTTTTAATTTATTGATTTGAGAGAGACATTGATTTGTTGTTCCACTTGTTTATGCCTTCAGTGGTTGATTCACATATGTGCCCTGACCAGGGATCAAACCCAAAACCTGGGGAAGGTATCAGAAGGACGCTCTAACCAACTGAGCCACCAGCCAGGGCCTAGACATAGTATTCTTTAAAATATGTTTTTATTGATTTTTTTTTTTTTTAGAGAGAGAGGGAAAGATAGAAATATCGATGTGAGAGAGAAACACCAATTAGCTGCCTCCTGCACGCCCCCCTACTAGGGATCAAGCCCACAATCCGGGCATGTGCCCTGACCGGGAATCGAACTGGGACTTCTCAGTCCATGGAACAACACTCAACCACTGAGCCACACTGGTGGAGCATAGATATAGTATTCTTTTTTTTTTCCTTTATTGAGTTTTAGAGAGAGAGAGAAACAAAGAGGGAGAGAGAGAGATAAAAGCATCGAGAGAGAACGTCGATTGGCCACCTTCTGCATACCCCTGATTAGGGACCTGGTTCACAACCTGGGCATGTGCCCTGACCAGGAATTGAATTGGGACCTCTCAGTCCATGAGATGACGATCAATCCACTGAGCCACACTGGTGGGGCATGGACATAGCATTCTTTAATAAATATTTGAAAAATAACTTATTAGAATTTTTAAATCTTTCTTAAATGCATTTAGATTTCATCAGATTTTTTGATCAACTTTCTAGTTTACTGAAAATACAGAGGATAGAGATGTAAGTTAAATAACATTGCAAGAAAGCAATGAGAAAAATTCAAAATGTGCCTTATTCAGTGTAACTCTATGGTCTCAACAAGTCACTTAGGGAAAAAAAGAACCACACCAATAAAAGGTATGTGCGCATACATGTACAAATACACTCTTTTAGATGAAAAGAGATGTCAGAAAGGGAAATCAAATGTAATGTATAATCCCGACTGGACTCTAATTTAAACAAACCAGCCAAAAAACATATTTTGTGACTACTGGGAAAATGTAAATATGGACTAGATATTAAATGCCTTAAAGGTGTAATTTTGTTAGATTTGACAAATCAAGAAAATGTCTTTACTTTTAAGAGATTCATACTAAGAAATGCAAACATTTCTTAGTATGAATCTCTTAAAGGACCAAAATCTAGGCAGCCATAACATGCTACTCTATAGTAATTAATGAAAATTACTGTAGCCCAGTGGTTCCCAGACAGGGACAACTCTGACTCTCCCCAGCCCTGCCCCCAACTTCTAAGGGGCATTTGGCACTATCTGGAGACATTTTTAATTCTGGTTTTCACAACGGGTTGGGGGAGAGCTGGTTACTACACCATCTAGCTGATGGAGCCCAAGGGTACTAGTACACATCCCACAGCACACAGGACAGTCCCCACAAGACTAATCCAGTCTAGATGTCAGTGGTGCTGAGGCTAAGACAAACACAAGAATGACAATGGACTGGAGAGATGAATAAAATATATACTAAAGCAAATATAGCAAGATGTTAGCAACTGTGGAATCTATGTGGTATGTCTGTGGTGTTCACTGCATAATTTACTTTCTTTATATTTGGAAAATTTGATAACAAAATGTTGAGAAAAGTATTACCAGGTATCATAATTATATGTTTAACGAACAGATTTTCATATAGATAAACCTAAATTCTTACAATTGTTAAAATAAAACTGATATAACCTGTAGAACACCATGATACTCACTAACACGCTCATGTAATAGCAGATAAGGATATTTCAGGATTTCAAGAAGAGGAACTCGAAGCTTATTTTCAAAGTCTTGGCCAGTGAAGTCAAACAGTTGTGCCTCTCCATTGTTGTCTACTATATATAATTCATCATCATCTTCTTCGATTTCTGCCCTCATGGATTTTTCAAAGTGATTTATGAGACGTAAGGTTTCTAATTCCCATAAAACCTACAGTAAAAGAAAAATGGGCAGTGTGCTTTATATCTTGTTATCACAAAATAAATTGGATGAGATGATCTTTCTAAAAGCCTTTTCCTAAGCATAAAGACTCAGAAATTTAAAGTACCAGACATCACAGATTTATTTGAAGAAGACAGTCACTAACCATGGCCACATTTATGATACATGAATACGAATGCAGTAAACCCTTCATTTGCGGACATCGTTTTAATGGACTTCACATTTAACAGACAAAAATTTCCAGTCCATGTCTTATGTGAAAATTAACACCGTGTTAATTTTTAAATGCTTTTAACCAATATTTGCTTATAATTAAATTATTATTATTTTTGTTGCTAATCCTCACCCAAGGATATTTTTTCCACTGATTTTTAGAGAGAGTGGAAGGGAGGAAGAAAGGGGGTGGGGGAGAGAGAGGAAGAAAGAGAGAAGAACATTGATGTGAGAGACATACATCGACTGGTTGCCTCCCACACACACCCTGACTAACTGGGGCCAGGGATCAAACCTGCAACCCAGGTCCGTCACCTTGACCAGGAACCAAACCTATGACCCTTCAGTTCATGGGCCAACGCTCTAACCATTGCGCAAGACCAGCCAGGGCTGCTTATAATTAAATTAACAGGGTTTTTTTTTTTGTTGTTATTATTAAGTCACTGTTATTTTTAACAAATTTTAGCAAATAGGCCATATGTTAGAAAAAACACACTGTAGTGATTTGCCTACATAAATATTACATATCTACAACTACCGTCTACATAATTAAATCCAAGACTCACTGCTCATAAACAACGTTCTTTGAATGATTAGCACATGATCACACCGGATCTTGAGTGGTAATTGGTTCTGTTGTCACATGGCGTGACTCCCTGCAGCAGTTTTTTTTTAATCTTTATTGTTGAAGGTATTACATGTCGCCTTTCTTTCCCACTGATCCCCTCCTCCCCTGCCTTCACCAACCATTGTCTGTGTCCACTGGTTGTGCATAGATTTATTCTGAGCAGTTGTTTTTTTTTATTCTTACCTGAGGACATTTTTCCATTTTTTGTTCAGATGGAGAGAGAGGAAGAGAAAGAGAGAGAGAAACATCGATATGAAAGAAACACATCGAGTGGCTGCCACCCGCACAACCCAACCAGGGCCGGGGACAAACTGCAACCGAGGTACGTGCCCTTAGCGAGAACCGAACCCGGGTCTCTCTGAACCGCAGGCCAACGCTCTAACTGCTGAGCCAAACTGGCCAGGGCCATTCTGAGCAGTTTTAACACGTGCAGGCCAATGTTCCAATGTGTACTAAGCCACACCCTCACCCTGTGCATTTGTTTATTCTCAGTGACTGGTGAATGCACGCACTTACTAGACCTATTCAATAAAGACTTAAAATTACTGCAATACATAAAGGAAACTTTTCTGTGAAATTAAACTTTTCAAACATACTTAATTTTAACTACACAAACGTGTCTACATAAGTGAAAACGGGCAAACTAATCTGTCTATTTTTTATCATATGCATTTGGAAAACCTACTTTATTATATAACGGACTTTCAGCTTTAACGGACACACCTCCTCGCCCGAACTAGTCCGTTCTATCGAGGTTTTCCTGTACACGGAGTATGACAGGGTTAAACATTGCCCGTGCAGAGTTTCACTATCAATATCTCAACATCCCAAACAACTCTACTTAAAAAGAAGTGACAAGTTGAAGTTTCTCTGTCAAAAGCAAGAGCTAGGCCTCTGTCTTCCCTTCTGTGTTCCAGCCATAATTACCCACTTAAAACATCAGCTTTAGCACAGAGACACTGCTTGGCTTCACAACTGGAAGACTTTGTAAATGCAAAAGTTTTCTGAACAGATTTACAACTAATCATCCCCTCTTCCTTTCTATATATTTCTATGGTCCACATTCTATTTTTCATCACATAAATGTAATAAACCAAATATTCAAAGCTACATATTTAAAATTATGTTTTACTTTGGTTATTCTGACTAGAAAATATGCTTGCCCTAGAGGTTTCTACCATTTACCTATTTAAAAATGAAAAGAGGGGAAATTTTTTTTTTTTAAATAGCCCAAGCGGCCCTGGCCGGTTTGGCTCAGCGGTTAGAGCATCAACCTGCGGTCCAGAGAGACTCGGGTTCAGTTCCTGCTAAGGGCACGTACCTTGGTTGCAGTTTGTCCCTGGCCCTGATTGGGTTGTGTGGGTGGCAGCCACTCGATGTGTCCCTTTCATGTCGATGTTTCTCTCTCTCTCTCTCTCTTCCTCTCTCTCCCTTCTACTCTATCTGAACAAAAAAAAATGGAAAAATGTCCTTGGGTGAGGATAAAAAAAATAGCCCAAGCACCTGGCCAGTGTGGCTCAGTGGATTGAACATCGTCCCATGGACTGACAGGTCCAGGTTCGATTCCCAGTCAGGGCACATTCCCGGGTTATGGACCCAATTCCCAGTGTGGGGCATGCAGGAGGCGGCCAATTGATGATCTCTCTCTTTGATGTTTCTATCTCTCTCTCCCTCTCCCTTCCTCTCTCTCTAAAAATCAATAAAGAGCCCTGGCCAGTTTTGTTCAGCGGGTAGAGTGTTGGCCCACGGACCGGAGAGTCCCAGGTTCAGTTCCCACTAAGGGCATGTACCTCGGTTTCGGTTTGCCCCTGGCCCCGGTTGAGGTCGTGTGGGTGGCAACCAGTCGATGTGTCTCTCTCACGTCGATGTTTCTCTCTCTTCCCCTTTCTCTCCCTCCTGCTCTATGTGAAGATAATGCCCCCCAAAAAATGTCCTCAGGTGAAGATACAAAAAAAAAAAAATCAATAAAGAAAAAATAGCCCAAGCCATTCAGTCACATGAATTCATAACACTGCCAAATATACTGACATAAAAACATGAACCAAACTGCTGATATATCACTTCATTTCATAAAATTGTTTGGTATCAAAATGACTTAAAGTGAGAGGTCATAAAATTCTGGTTTAAGTTTCAATTCAGTTCCATCCATCAATGACCACTGACTCAGGTAATGAATTAGGTATTAGAGGTATGTAAAGTTTAAAGCATCAGTTCCCTGACTACTTCCAAAAGAGTTCAAATTTATTCACTTCCTAGTTATCAAGCTCCAAAATATATCCCCCGCTGATGTAACTTACCTCATGCAAGAACGGCAGCTCATCCCTGGCTCTGTGGTACTCAGTCACACACTCCAGGCAGTAGCAGAGGTCTTCATCTGCTGTTTGGAAGTCACTGGGCTGGGTCCTGGAGGCATAGCACTGCAGGAACTCGATGGTGGAAACGCCACCTGGCGTACACCAACAACATGTGCTCATTCTGTACCTATATCCAGAAAAGAAAACAAAGGCTAAAGAAAAATAAAATACTTCGGGCTTGTTCTGTGCGAAGAATGGGTACACTTCCACTAACAACCATCCTGAACTGAAAAACATACCTCCACCACATCCAGAACAACCTGCTGGCCAGCTGTCAATCACTGACTAAACTCAAGTCCTCAAAACTTTGACACATGGAAAATACAATAAAATGAAAGCACTTTGTTAGTTATAAACATCATAAGGTAGTACAGTTGTGCTATATAAAAAGCTCAAAACTATGTAATATTGATACAAAATATACTGAGACACAGAACTATCCGTGTTTCCAAAGTATAGATTTTGGAGTCTTCTACTGATGCACTGAAGCTAAGAGAAAAGCTCAAGGAACCTTTTACATTCCCAAAGCCATGTTTGGGAAATCCCTGGAAACATGAAAATCCATTAACACTAATCCATACCAAAACAAAAACTTACATAGAAAAGGATTTTCTCTCGTTTACAAAGTATATATACACATGAATTTGCCATAGTGAACTGCTGTCCATAACTCACTGCTTATTGATACACTGTAATAGACAAATGTTAATATATGGCTACTGAGTTTGATGCTTAGTTTTTCTACTGTCTCCAACTTCTTGTTTTCATAATACCATCAGAGCCTTGACCATCCAAGCTCAAATGAAAAGGTTAAGATTAAATACTTTTCCAAATCCTAGCAGTCTGAAGGACAGCAAAGTAGCAAGACTATACTAGGAAATCCCAAGAACCAAATGTGTCAACAATTTGAATGAATACCTATGAGGCAGGTTTATCAGAACTGCAAATGACATGAAACTGAGATTAGCAAATAGGATGAAAGCCAAAATCCAGAGAGATCTCTAATTCTAATGAGGTATAATAAAAATAAGCTAAGACCTAACATTTTTATCCCTAACTAAATGCATTTAAAAGCAAACAGGATAGCCCTGGCTGGTTTGGCTCAGCAGCTGGATCACTGGCCTGAAGACCAGAGAGTCCCGGGTATGGTTCCTGCTAGGGGCATGTACAAAAAAAACAAACAAACAAAAAAAAGCAAACAGGATAGCCTGGACAGTATGGTTCAGTGATTGAGCGTCGACCCATGCACCAAGAGGTCACTGGTTCGATTCCCAGTCAGGGCACATGCCCAGGTTGTAGGCCCAATCCCCAGTTGGGGACATGCAGGAGGTGGCCAATTGATGTTTTCTCTCATCAATGTTTCCATCTCTCTCTCTCCCTAAAATCAATAAAGGGAAAAAAAATTTTTTTAAATAAATAAAAGCAAACAGGATACTCATTGCCAGTAAGCAAGGTACTGCAGCTAAATAAAAAGCAAATGTATGCATTAAAATAAATAAACAAATGAGAGAGAGAAGGGAGGAGGAGGCAGAGAAGGATCGGGGCAGGGAAAATATATCTTATAGTGCCAGAAAGTACTCAAAATACAAAAAGATTAAGTCATGGCAACGGGACACAGGAGCCAACCTGAAAGAGCGCTCAATGGCCAAAGCTCAAACATTTTGAACAAAATAAATGTAATATTGGATTATAACCCACAGTATAAAGTAAATACACACGAATCCATGCTGGTATAAATGAATGATTGAATGAATAAACAAATGTGGGGGAAGGGACAAATCTTCCTTATAGAAGAATTCCAAATAATATATTGATACTCCCCATTCCAGGAGGTGGCGCTCAATCACACACCCCTTCTTGAGTGTGGGCCAAAGAAGAGAGTAATGGAAAAGCAGTAAATTTACAGTGGAGACACCTGGCAAACACAACCTTAATCAAATGAGCAAGGTGAACATCACCTGTGTAAGTCATGTTTCTAACCTGACACAATGTGACAAGGAAACAACTTCAATCTGAAGTATGCTTCTCCAAAACCCACGATGCCCCAGTCTATTCATGAGAAAAACATCAGATAAACTCAAAGTACCATCTAAACAGCTACCAGTCAGTCTGAAACAAGAAAACCACACCCAAAGGGAGGCAAAGCAAGCACTCTTTTATACAAAACTAATGACTGATTGGGAATTGGTCCAGGAAATTATCCAACAAACCTCATCTTGAGAAACTTGACCTCAAGTCTCCAGTGAATATAAAATACCAGCCTAATGGGGAAAAAAATGTTATAAATCCAACTAAGTTCACTTCATAAACTAGATGAACTTAACCCACACCTCCTCATCAGGGGTAAAATCATCCCGAGAGAGATGAAATTGGTTTGCCCTACTCTTTTTATGTATAAAGCACACATATACGTACACTACATAGATATACACCACATTACTAGTGTTGAAATTTCACAGGAAAGAAATGTCTAAAATGTTTCCTTTCAGGAAGGGAGGGGGAAGGAACAAATAAAGGTTAAGAAACATGAATTGAATATATGGATTCAGAAACTTGGCAGTGTGAGGGTCCTGAATGGTATCACCCTAAAATTCAGAGTGCATAATCACTGCTAATGATCTTGACAGAAATGATAGTTTACTGCTGAGGCTTTTGTGGCATAATGCCAGTTCTTTAAAATAAAACTGATAAAAACAAGTCCTTACTTTCTTCTTACACCCACAATTAAAGACAAGCACAAATGCATACATATACTCAAATACATATATTTGTCTTACAAATTCATTTTTTAAATTTATTAAATATTAACTGTGGCCCTGCCCGGATTTGCTCTGCAGTTAGAGCGTCAGCCCACAGACCAATGAGCTGTGGGTTCGATTCCAGTGAAGGGCACACGTACCCCAGTTGCGGTTCATCCCCGGCCCTGGTCAGGGTCTTGTGGGAGGCAACCAGTTGATATGTCCTCTCATGTTGATGTTTCTCTCCCTTTCCCTCTCTCTCTCTCTTTCCCTCCCTCCCACTCTATCTGAAGATAAATAATAAAAAAAAAAGATCCTCGGGTGAGGATTAAAATAATTCTATATATATATATATATTAATTGTGTATTTTCTTCATGCTCCTATGAAGAATTTAGGGCAGTTTTCAATATTAAAGTACTTCATATAGAAAAGGACATTTTTAAAAGAGATTTAAAAAGAGAGAGCAATCCAAACTTATTTAAAAGATATTTAATTTTACTAAGCCCTAAATTGGGAGCTTCCTGAAAAGCAGAGCAACAAGGTAACACGATGAGGTCCACAGTCCTCATCTGAAAAACAAAAGCAGCATGCTAGCTCGGCTGAGAGTCCTGCCCTTTCCTACACTGATTCTAACGCAACTCCGTTCCAGTAATGCTTACCTGGCACAAGGGTGCTGCAGACTAGGGACTACGAAGTAACACAGTGAATAGCATTAGTTTTTTTCAGAATATAAAATTCTTCTATTCCAAGCAGAGTTTCTTGTACCAGAAAGGCCAGTCACAACACCAGGAAGTGAAGAGGCTGCAGAAGCTATTGTTTCTGGTGATCTAACTCAATGTGGGGAGTGAACTCAGATTTAAGAATAGAAAGTGAAACTTACAGATTTCTCAAACACCAATTATTTCTAGCATGATTTAGCAGGGAAAAGGTTGCAGTCAATTAAAATTTCGAAAAAATTAAGGGACTGAAGTAAAATAATAACTTTGTTACAACATGTTAACAAAGTAATTAGTATAGAAACCTTGCATTAAGAGAATTAGGAAGTCTGCTTTTTATTTCACTCCCTCAGAGCTAGGCTATTTCCACACTCAAAGCCGGACTAAACTGTCTCCAAGTAGATGGAAGTTACGCCCATGTAACAGATAAGCACCATGGAATTGACAATATACAGAGAAACATGTTTGTGATTCCTCTCAAATGGCCAAAATATGTATGATTATGTCCCCAAATCTAAAATCACCACTGGCCTGATAGCTAAACCCTGCAAATTCTGAATAGGGTATATTGTAATTTTCTTTTTAAGGGAAAATCACAGCAGATGACTATGAATCCTATTAAGTTTTCGCCCAACTCAGTTTTATTAATTTCACCAGATTTTAACTGCTTAGAACTATTACTGAAGCCAAGATGGTGGGGGTCCAGGGAATCCTCAAGCTGCAGGACAGAAATAAGAACCACTCCCCAAGCATCAAAAGGAGCTGATTTTATATTTTCTACCTTGTATAAGGGAGCTGATGTGTCAATAAGACAGGATGCTTCACCAGAAGGATAGCTGTAACTTTCTATACACTTTCCCTGGGGATATCATTTCTCAGTATTAGCTAGCCAGAAACTTCAAGTAACAATCACTTTCTTCTATCTTTCCCAGCTCAACTTCTAGAAAAAATCACCTATATTCACTTCTTTAGCTCCTCTGTACTCTGGTCTCTACCCTCACTGAATGCCTTCACAGAAGTCCTTCATAATCTCTGCATTACCAAATCAGGTAGGTTCTTGATGCCTCTAAACATATGAAAATGCTGCCATGGGATGGGGGAGGTGGAAGAGGGCAAAGCAGAGATAAATGGGGACGAAAAGAGACTTGACTTAGGTGGTAAACACATGATGCAGTGTGCAGATGACATGTTACTGAGTTGCACACTTGAAACTTATATAGTTTTATTAACAAATGTCACCCCAATAAATTCAATAAAAAAAAACTTTAAAAAAGAAAAAGGCCCTGGCCGGTTTTCTCAGTGGTTAGAGCGTTGGCTCATGAACCAAAGAGTCTCGGGTTCGAATCCCAGTAAAGGGCACATATCTTGGTTTCAGGTCTAATACCAAGCCCCAGTAGGGTTCATGTGGGAGGCAACCAATCGGTGTGTCTCTTTCACATCAATGTTTCTCTCTTTCTCCCTTCCACCCCTCCCTCCTTTCCACTCTACATAGAAAAGTTAATGGAATAATTTCCTCAGGTGAGAATTAACAAAAGAAAAAGAATGTGATGAATAAAATGTTACTAATGCAGATTAAATTTTTAAATGTGCAAAAAAAAAAAAGAGAGAGCGAGAGAAAGAAAAAAAGAAAACACTGGTCATGTATTCCTTAGGTAAGACAACAGCATTCTCCTCTCAGTTTCTCTACTCAATCTCCTTCATAAGCACCTCTTCCTTTGTGACTGCAAATATCAGTTTCCAAAGACTGTCCTCAGGACTCTAACCTCTTCATTTAATATCTTCTTTCTGGATGACCTAATTCAAACCACTGCTTCAAAACTCTACCTATTTTGAGGTTTCTCAAAGACTGAGAATATATATAGAACTCTAAATGCAGTGCTTAACTACATTTCAGATACTCAATAAATGAGAGCCTAGCCTAGAAGTCCACAAAGATATAGTCAATATCCCCGTGCACAGTGAATCTCTACTCATCTGACAGGCACCTCAAACAGAAAAGAACAAAGTCCTTCCCTTAAATACGTTATTTTCTATATTCATGGCATTATGACCCCTTTAGTTTTCAAACCAGTAACCTGGAAATTACTCTATTACATCTGTTACATCTGTACTTGACTCTCAGTAAGACTGCCACTGCCTTAGTTTAACACATTCTCATTTGTCTGGATTATAGAAAAAGCCTAAATGGGATTCTTCTGCCTCCTGTTCCGCCAAAATGCTGCCAAAGGGTAAAGAAAAAAGCTGGACTTTGAAAGCACAAATGACTCCTCCACAGTCTTGGGATCAACTTCAAATGTCTGAGCTCAGTACATAAGGCCCTGCCTGATCTGGCTTCAGCACCATCTCTTACCACTCCCCTCACTTGCTCTCCAAAAAGTGCTTCATGGTGTTTGGCATTCCTTGCCTTTATGGAAGCTCATCCATCTGCCTTGAGCACCCACCCTCTGCCTGGTTCTTGACTCTGAAAGTGCATCAAAAACTCACCAAAGAGACTCGAAGAAAACAAACAAGGTAGAAGATGAGATAATACAGATAAAATTCAGATTCCATTTTTAAAAAGAACTCCACTAGTGATTGTGGTAAAAAAAAAAAAAAAAAAAAAAAAAAGCCAGATTTGAGAACTACCCATGTGCAACCAACCCATCCCTGAGTGTCATCACATCTGGGGCTTATCTGACCCATCTTCTCCCTTCCGGTCTGTCTTTAATAACCTTCTCCATTATCTCAGGACTTTTATGGTTTTATCACTGCACTTCCATGTTGGGTTGAGTTGTTATTCTCAGCAATTTTAAATCTGTAGGGCAAGGATCTGTTCTGTACAATCCCTTTTAGTCCAGCTTGGTACAAAGTAAGTGACTGAAAAAAAATGTCTTAAATGTTTGCTTAAAAAATAATTACCTGGGCTAATGGCTTACAGAGACGTGATCTTCTCAGTTGAGATTCCTGGGCTTATTTGTAAACGGGTGAGAATCTGCATTCATACATACCCAGACTCTGGCCCCAAAAGGACATTTCTGAAAAAAGATAAAAAGAAACAAACTGGTAACACAGTTTTTATACTCTGTCTTATTCTGAGTTTCACAACAGATGTTACTGTTTAATGAAAACACTCATGGTCACAGAGATCAGACAACTTGCCTGTGGGCGCACAAGTACAGTAGTGAAGAAATGACAATTTCCATTCTGACTCTACAGGTTATACTCATTCCGTTGGGGCTGGCCCCACTCAGGAACAGCTAGGCACTAGGGTAAAACTTCCCCAAATGAGCAAATGCAGGTTTGATCAGCCCTAGGATCATCAGTAACTAACTCATCTGTCACTTTAAACGTCAAACTCTTCCTTCTAAGTAAGTGCAGGGTTCTTTTCCCTTCAAGCCTTGTGTTTGGTGCCGTCTGGGCCGTGCCAGCCTTTCGCACATCGAAAGTGGGGTGGGCAAAGCTCCTGTGGCTGGCTGTCAGCGCCCCATCACCTTCAGGTGGAGTGGGAGGGACTCAGGTGGCCATTCGGGAGAGGCGCACTCTCCAAAGGGCGAGACCCCGGAGCGGGGGAAAGGCAGGGGCATCGAGAGGACCAAGACTTCCTCCCAACCCACCCGCGAGGGCACTACACAAGGCCCAGACCGAAAGTTGCTCACACGACACCGCACTGTAGACAACAGGAAGGGAGAAGGGGTCCCAGCGCCCGGGACCCCGAGGTGCAGGAGGCAGCAGGGGACGACCCACCAGACACTAAGGGGGTGCTCCCGCCTGTGCCTCCCTGACCCTCCACAGCGCCCCGGAGCTCGCGCCGCCCCTCCCCCACCCGCCCGGACCTCACGCGCCGCGACAGTTATTCCACGCGGCCCCGCGCGCAGCAGCCGCGCACGCGCCCACCGGTGCGACCTCGAGCCCGCCCCTGTCCTCACCCAGCGTGGCCTCGCGCCGGCCGCCAGCCCCCCTCCATGCCTCTGCTCAACAGTGTGCCGAGGGCGGAAGTGGAGGTCCGCACCCCGCTAGCCAACCCCCGGGCGCCGCGAGCGACGGTCCTGCCCCTGCGCGCCGTGGGCTGTCCGCAAGCCCCGCCTCAGCCGTCACTTTGTTTTGGGGCGCCGAGGGGCGGGGCGTGGGAAGAGATGCGCCTGAGCTCCGCGAGGAGGCCGGAACACTTGGCGCTGGCGTCACTTCCGGTCTGCCGGGCCGACCAATCAGGAGCGTCCGCGCGGTTGGGGGCGGAGCTCGTTGCCGAGGAGTGAACGCGGCCCTGCCCAAGAGTCCCTCCCGGTGGGGACGCACCCCGCCTCCTGCCCCCAGGTGGCTTAGGCGCTTACCTTTCTGCCTTTTCCGCTGTCCTTTTCTGTTTCCAGCGCCTCAGACGTTTCCAGGAGGGTGCGTGACGAACTGCGAAGGAACTTTTTTCTTTTTTAGGTTTCCTTTAAAGACATAAATCAACCTGTAATTGGAGGACAAGGTATACTTTGGATTCCAGGAAAGGGATACATTAAGTATTGCGACCTGGGGGAATACATATATGTTGTATCCAGGAAAGGGATACATTAAGTATTGCGATCTGGGGGAATACATATATGTTGTTTCCAGGAAAGGGATACATTAAGTATTGCGATCTGGGGGAATACATATATGTTGGGGGAATACATGTATGTTGTATTCCAGGAAAGGGATACATTAAGTATTGCAATCTGGGGGAATACATATATGTTGTATCCAGGAAAGGGATACATTAAGTATTGCGATCTGGGGGAATACATATATGTTGGGGGAATACATGTATGTTGTATTCCAGGAAAGGGATACATTAAGTATTGCGACCTGGGGGAATACAACAAAGTATTGCGATCTGGGGGAATACATATATGTTGGGGGAATACATATATGTTGTATTCCAGGAAAGGGATACATTAAGTATTGCGATCTGGGGGAATACATATATGTTGGGGGAATACATGTATGTTGTATTCCAGGAAAGGGATACATTAAGTATTGCGATCTGGAGGAATACATATATGTTGGGGGAATACATGTATGTTGTATTCCAGGAAAGGGATACATTAAGTATTGCGATCTGGGGGAATACATATATGTTGGGGGAATACATATATGTTGTATTCCAGGAAAGGGATACATTAAGTATTGCGATCTGGGGGAATACATATATGTTGGGGGAATACATGTATGTTGTATTCCAGGAAAGGGATACATTAAGTATTGCGATCTGGGGGAATACATATATGTTGGGGGAATACATATATGTTGTATTCCAGGAAAGGGATACATTAAGTATTGCGACCTGGGGGAATACATATATGTTGGGGAATACATATATGTTGTGTTCCAAAAAAGGGATACATTAAGTATTGCGATCTGGGGGAATACAGATACTTTGGATTCCAGGAAAGGGATACATTAAGTATTGTAAAGAAAAACAATACAGAGTATCCCAGTTCAAACCACCACCCGAAAGCCTACCCCTTTTTTCTTTTCTATAATTTTTTTTTCTTTTCTATAATTTTTTTTTCTTTATTGATTTTAGAGACAGAAGGAGGGAGAGGGAGAAATAGAAACATCAATGAGAGAGAACATCCACTGACCGTGGCGGGCATGCCCCACCTAGGGATTTGGCCCACAACCTAGTCTTGGGCCCTGACCAGGAGTCCAACAGGGAACCTCTTGGTGCAGGGGTGGAAGCTCAGTCACTGAGCCACACCCGCCGGGCCTTTTTTATTTTTTTTTATTTTTATTTTTTAACACCTACTCCTGACTTGGGTGATGAGGAACCACCACTAGCTTTTACTCTAGTAGAGAAGGCAGAAAAAACCCCACGATAATTACTAACGCTGATCAGCGCTGCAAAGGAAAGAGGCCGAGAAGGGCCCGACCCAGCAGCGCGGCCGGAGCGGTCTTGCCCGGGAGAACCCTAACCGAAGACTGAGAAGGAGCACGCCAAGCCCGCAGGAGGGCCCCCGGGGCAGCTTCCGGTGAGGGGCGTGGCTTGTGCCGACGCCCGGTGACCGTTATGCTAATTTGCCAAAGTGGCCGTTGGCGTTGGGGCACGTGGGCGAAAAACCGTTATTCCCCTGGCTTCTAGATCTTTCTACCCTGGGAACTAGTTTGGCCGCATTCAGTGGAAGTGTTCCAATGAGACAGGCTGCACGCCCGTTTCCAACGGGACCGCGCTACCCATCGGACATGCATCCATCCATCCCTTCGTAAAATAATCTCTATAGACATATTTTTATGGAGTACTTTGAAAACTACAGACAGACCTGTATTTTGGATGGCTATGGAAGAGAATCTTTAAAAGAAGGAGAAGGTGCACAGAATTGCCCGAATTTCTAGGGCCGGGCACTCCCGTGTCCGGTGGCAGAATTTGTCGCCTACGTTACTGCAGGGGGTGGGGAAGAACATTACTAAACGCCACCAGCTCACCGCGGAGGGACCAGCGCGATGGCCAGCCTTGGGCACCGAACCCGGGGGCTTGGGCCAGGGACACATCCAGCTGTTCTAACTCCAACATCAGAGGGGGGCGGTGACATTTTGGGTTGAAGAAATCGTTTAATGTCGAACGATGTACTGGGGCCCGGCCGGTGTGGCTCAGGGGTTGAGAGCGACCCTGCACCAAGAGGACGCCGGTTCCATCCCCAGTCAGGGCCCAGGCCCAGGTTGTGGGGCGACCCCCGCGGGGGGCGTGCAGGGGGCGGCCAGTCCATGTTCTCTCTCATCCATGTTTCTCTCTCTCCCCCTCTCCCTCGAATCAATAAAGAAAAACAAAACAAGGTATCTGAGCCCATTAAAGGCAAAAAGTGCCTCGGTCCCACTCCAGCCATAACTTGGGCTTGCCTCTGAGCTCTGTGGGCCTTGGCCTTGTACCACGTTTGTTTTTAATCTGCAAGCAATATATTAAGTGTCACTTGCTTTTCAACTTTATACTGAACGCATCTTACACGCACATTATGTCCCAAGATCGATCCCAGGGACAGTCGAGAGCCCAACACTCCACCAATGTGGGGGTGTTTTTAAAAACACTGTCGTAAAATGTTCGAATGCAAAACTGGGAATAAAATATTTACATGGGATGCATGGCACAAATGACAAGTTTTTTAAATGGAAAAACCCCACAAATAATAATTTAAAAAAAGAATCCAGAAAATAAACAACATATAAGCTGCAAACACAGCTCGATAAAAATGACATATTTTGGCTTCATACACGTTACCTGGACAACAAGGATCAAGATCTTTTTCTTTCTTTTTTCTTTTCTTTCTTTCTTTCTTTTTTAACAGAGAACACAAGGATAATTCAGCCTTTTCTCTAGCAAGGTTGATGAAATTAAGAGTTCATAAAAGTTTCTTTCGGATTCGTGATTTTGTTTGATCACGTCATGTCAATTTTTAGGAGTGGCAAATTAAAGACAAATCCTTTCAAGCTTGTTTTCACGTAGGAGCTGTAAGATATCAGAGAACGTAAGGTCTCTGGTGTTGTGACCGAACCTCAATAGTTAGAACTGACGACACTTTATTACCAGGCTGCATTTTTAGATCCTTATTGTGAGTTTTAGGACTTTATGTCAGAATGTCAGTACTTGGCCTGGTTTGATCATTCCTCCTCATTGTTTGGATCACCAACAACCAAAAAGCCTATTACTCTTTATTTCTATTTGAAATGGATCTCTTCCAATGTGTTACCGAATTTTTTTTTGTTATAATTTCTGTTGATTTCATCATCATTCATCCTCAGTTTTGCTTCATATTCCATTAATTTTTGTCACCTTTCTACAGTTATACACAATAAAAACCACAGATTTTAGATGTATGGTGTGGGGAGTTCTAACAACTCCCTAATTTTGTGTAACCATCTTCCAATCAAGATACGGAACATTTTCCTCACCCCAGAAAGTGCCTGGGATTGTTCCACACTAAATTCCCTTCCCCACACTCACCCGACGGAACTGCTGGTCTGATTCCTCTCACTGCATCTATCACCATGGGCCCACGTAGACTGTTCTAGAACTCTAGCTCAGTGGAATTATACATCATGTACACCTTTTTCTGTCTCCTTTTGTTCAACAGGAACTGTGTGAGGTTCATAGTTGCTGCCCGTATCTGCAGTGCGTTTTTGTTGCGGAGAGGGATGTCATTAAATGGGTACCACATTTTTCTCACCCAGCTGGTGAACAGTGGTGGTTTCAAGTTTTTCACTACTAAGAATAAAGCTGTTATTCTCGAACAACAAGCGCTGGTGCGGGTGTGGAGAAAAGGGGACTCCAGCACACTGCTGGTGGGAATGCAGACTGGTGCTGCCACTGTGGGAAACAATACAGTGTTTCCTCAAAAAATTAAAAATGGAACTGCCATTTGACCCAGTGATCCCACTTCTAGGAATATACCCTAAGAAGCCTGAAACACAATCAGGAAAAATAGATGCACCCCTGTGTCCATAGCAGCGCTATTTACAATAGCTAAGATCTGGAAACAGCTCAAGTGCCCATCAGTAGATGAGTGGATGAAAGAACATAATGAACAAAATAAGCTGTGACCAAAAGAGATTCAGCCATGGAAGTAGGGAACAGACTGACAAACCTCAGAGGGGACCTTTGGGAGGGGTGGGGAGAGATAAACCAAAGCACTTACACGAACAACCAAAGGACATAGACACTAGGGGAAAGCAGGAGGGGGTGGGAGAGGGGAGGAAGGGTCAATGGGGGTAAAACGGGGGGAGAGGGGGTGTATCTGTAATACTTTCAACAACACTTTTAAAAAGAATAAAGCTGTTATGAACGTTACTGTACAAATCTTCTAACGGATGCATGCTTTTATTTAACTTGGATAAATCTCCAGGAGTGGAATTTCTGCATTAGAATAGGTGTATATTTAAAAGTATGAGGACTTACAACCCATTTTCCAAGGTGGTTTCGCCATCTGAAATTCCTATAAACAACACACAAGTGTTCCATTTGCTCCACAAACTCGCTAACACTTCCCACTGGGAATCTTTCACATTTCAGTCTTC